GCGCGGGTCGGTTCGAAGGCGGCGCGTCCTGGTGACAGGACGCGCAATGCGTGATGTCACGCGTCAAGGTCGAGCTCTAGCGAGCGGAAATGGTCCGACGAAATCCATAGCAATCGATTGCCATGGTTGCGTAGGTACTGGTAAACTGTGCAGTTTACCGCTTGCCAGAGTGCTGCGGGGCTTGGTGGCCTGGCACGTCGGACATGTGTTACAGAATGCATCCACGTCCTTGCCGAGAGTCGGCCACCAAAAGTAGCGGCGTAAGTACTCCCCGGTACGGAATGAACCCATGTGGCCGATAGTAGTATGGGCCTGATCGATGGCGAGCTCCGTGAGTCGGCGCCCGTGGTGTAGAGTACGGGGTATGCAAAGTACGTCGTCACCAGCACGATTTCTCGTGTACAGCAGCTTATCGCGAATTTTGAATGTACTGTATTCGACAGGTTTATTCACTACTCTGGTGAATAGCACATCTTTGGTATAGCCGGATCGTACACTACTGAGAAAACCACTAGATTCCCTGGCGTATTGTAGCAACGACGGGCCATCTGCCGCGGAGTCCACTAGGCGCGGATTGTCGGCCGATGACGCCGGTGCCACATCGGCAGCCGCACCGCCGAGGTCGGAGCCGAATTCGCCACGCGAGTCGTCGATCCGCTGATCCCGAGGCGCTTCGTCAGTGGCTGGCGCGCTGGCTACTGCCTGCTGTTGCTCGCCGGAGAGCTTATCCGCCTCACCTATCCTCGGGTGATCGTGTTCCTTGGCCACGCGCGGGAGTGTGGACTGTCTCCAGGCTGCCGGGTCTACTGTGTGATTACGTGCACGCCGTTGAGGCCGAGTTGGCCGCAAGGACTCTGATTCGGCCTGTGCGCGCATGTCAGCGTTTACCGCGCGTATCTCGGCGAACCTATTCCACGGCAGATCTTCGCCTTCTGGGTCTAGGCGAATGTCGGCGTTCACGTATTCATGGTCGGGATGCCACTCATCCCATCGGTCAGTGCTGTAGTACCTGGAGAACGCGTCGGCTACAACGTTCTCCAAGCCCTTGACATATTCGATGGTGTAGTGGAACCTTTCGAGGAAGGTCATCCACCGCGATTGTCGCGGGTTCAGCATGCGCTGGTTGGTGCTCTTGAAGAATTCTAACGCTTTGTGGTCCGTGATGACCCGTATCGGGTAACCGAGCAGCTTGTCTTCCCACTTCAAGAGTGCGGACAGAATGGCAAGCGTTTCCATTTCCCTCACAGCGTAGTTCATCTGAGCTGACGTGAACTTCTTAGACATGAATCCCGCCGGTCGGCAGGTCTTCCAGTCCGATCCTTGCCCGTACATCGCTCCCACACCGGATGTTGATGCGTCACAGACGATCCAGATTGGGTCGGGAAGACTTGGATCAATTGGCTTCAAGATCGGCGTCTTACACGCCAAATGCTTGATCATGTCGAAGCACGTCTGATGGACAGGACGCCAGGTGAGCGTAGGGGCTTTCGTGAGCACGTTCAGTGGCGCCGTATACTGGGATACGTTCGGCATAAAGTGCTGTATGTATTGTACTAAGCCCAAGAAGCGCATCAGATCCTGCGTATCCCTGGGTGGGCGCCAGTTGCGGATGCGCGACATCTTGTCGCCATCAGCATGGAGCCCCTTGTCGTCGATGACATGCCCAAGGCAATCCATCCGGGCCGCATACAACTCGCACTTGTCGATCTCGACGTACAGCTTGTTGCGGCGAAGGAGGTTGAATACGATTCGTAAGTGTGCATGGTGTTCTTCAACGCTCTTGCTATAGATAAACATATCATCTAGGTACACATGAATGAAGATGCCTATGTGATCACGGAAGATATAGGTCATCAAGCGTTGAAAAGTAGCGGGTGCATTGCAATCGCCCTGCTGCATGACGTTACTTTCGTACGTGCCATATACTGTAGCAAACCCAGTCTTATGTACGTCTTCAGGGACCACTCGGACTTGCTCATATGCGTTGCTTAGGTCTATCTTGGACCGAATTGCTCCGCGAGCAACGTCCATCCGGATCTGGTCCTGATCCGGTAGAGGCGTGACGTCCCGAACGGTGTTGTCGTTGCGTTGTCTGCAGTCTATGACCGTGCGCAGCTTACCGCTCTTCTTAGGTATGCACAGCATTGGCGCGGCCTGTTCGACAGGCCGAGCAATCCACCATTCTGAACGCTCATACTGCTTGATCTTATCCAGCAGTTGCGGTTTCACCGATTCGGCGCATCGCGGCAGGTGGTAGTGATATCGCTTGCTTTCGTCAATGAGCGGTATGCGGTGATTGACCGCACGGATGGGAGGCAGCTTGGGTGGTACGCCTTTCATCATGTCCGCATATTCCTTGTACCAGTACTCACTATGCTTGGCACGCTCCTCAGACGTCAGAAGTGCTTCTGGTGCCTTATCTGGGTCGCGTACTACGCGCATATATGCGTGGTCTGGTATGTCTTGTGACAGCTTTTCTGATAGTCTCTCGCTTCCAGCCGGTTCCGCTATCAGAGAACCGACCTCGGGAAGCGGCGACTCCCTTCAACCCGACGTTGAAGGGCCAACCTCATCATTCCGACCTTCAAGCGTATTGGTCTTAAAGGCGAGGGCACGACTCGTGGTAGTGCGGCTGAAGGTACGTCTGCCGGACTTTGGTTCACCCTCTTGCTCGCGCTGAGGCGTCTTCCTTTTGAATTCAGGATGCTGCATCGTTACTCGTTCGCTCCAAATGTCATCGATGAGCTTCTTGTCACTCGGCGGCGTCTGCAGGAGCATGACTTCGGGCAAGATGTTCTCGCCTGTCTCAGCGGCCGTCGGCGTTGGGATAGGTGTCTTTAATTCCTCGGCTTCGGCGCGCGTGAGCGCTTTCAAGTCCTGCCCGTCGATCTCGATCACGCCACGCTTGAAGTCGAGCACTACCTTATGATCGTGCATGAACGGCGTCCCGAGGATCATATCATATCCCGCTGTGTTAACAATATCGCTGTAGACCGACGGGAAGGTCTGGTACCCTAGGGTGAGCGAGTGGGTTGCTCCCCAGTTCACCTTGCTACGGCTCCCAATGCAGCCGAGCTGTAGTGTGAATGGTGGGTCGAGCGCTACTGTCTTAACCTTTGCGGCGGCCGCTAATGATGGTGTGATCGAGTCACAGGTACTGCCGGAATCGAAGAGTATCAGAGCCTGCACGCCATTGACCTCACCGTATGTGGTCATGCACATCATTGCATTCGGACTGGGTCGTGGCCGTTGAATGGACTTGGCGTCTTTCGGCCGCGTGCGGTTTTGGCTCGGGCTGGGAGGTGCTGGTACGTTACGTGCGAAGCAGTACTCGATGGTGTTCTCGACGCTATCTGATTCGTATTCGGATGATACGTCGGAGAACTCGTCTTCACTGGTGTCAGACACCGGCTCGAGGTCGGGCAGGCTGTCGTATCCGGGGTCTTCGGTGGTATCGACTTCTGCCCTAGGTGCGTCGTTCTCATACTCGGACGCGTCATCGCACTCATCTTCTTCAGGTACTTCTTCGATGGTAACTCCCAGGCGGCACCTGTTTGGTATTGAAGGTGCCGGCGCCTTATCATCATTCTCATCATCGGATTCGTCGCCGCTCGACGATTCGTCCGATTCATTCCCCGAGTCCGCTGCGTCCTCTTCATCGTCAGAGGTTTCGTACTCGGGAAGAACAGTCCGCGGGCTGGTACTGTAGCGGCGTAATCCTCCAGGTAGAGGTTCGTCGCGCGACCACTGGTGGCCGAGCACGTCTGTGACCGTTTCTGGTGTCACATCCGTGGCCCAGCGGTACATCTCAACGTCTAGGTCGTATGCGATGCGCAGTGCATCTGATCCAAACGTTTCTAGGACCGTTTCGTCCCTGGATAGTATCATCAGGCTGTGCTTGAACTCTGCGGAAGCCAGGGCTTCTTGCGTATCCCACAAGGTCCCGTCTATTGCTTCGATCTTTCGCGAGGACTCGGCGTTCACCGTCTTTAGACTGTCAACTTCCCATAGTGCGCGTCGTAACTGATCTTTCAGGGATCCGATCTTACCGTGCGCGCTCTTCAGGTCGGCGGCGTAACGGTGTACGATGCGGTTATGCTCACGCGTGGTTTGTAGCGCATGGCGCCTTCTATGGTATGTTTCTAATTCAACTGCAGCCATTTCGGGCGATAATCTAGACAGGTTTGGTCGTTGGCCTACACGCGGAAGAGCCCAAAAGCCTGGCTCGTATGACGGGTGAAGATCCTCTTCCTCGTCATCCGTGCAATCCATCGGGGTAAGGTCCTCCACGACGTACATGCTATGCATGCGGTGGGTGAATCCTTCGTCGGAGTTGTACTCGCTATGGCGCTCGTTCTGCTCATCAGAGTCGTACTGAGAGTTAGGTACAGCGTCATAGTACTCAACAATCTCCTCGATGAGGGACTCTTCGTCACTATCAGGCGGGGGCTGCTCGTCAGCGCCGCCTTCTCCTTCCTCGGTTGCCTCAGCATTCTCGGCATCCTGCTCCTCCAGGGCGATGTTGGCCATCAGGCGCTGGTCACCGGCTTTGATTGGGCAGTCCTGGATGATGTGACCAATCTGACGACACCTGAAGCACCGCTTCATGCTAACGTCTCCCCGTGGTGCGTTAGTCGGGCGACTGCCGCCGAGCGGCGCAGAGTTGGCCGTTGTACGCTGCTCCCTTGACGGGTTTCTGTTCTTAGCGTATTGGGTGATTACCCTTTTAACGAAGCGCCCACTGCTCGGTGTGGTAGGCTGCTCTCCGTCTTCGGTCAACAATTTCGTCGCCGAGGGCGCGGCTGTTGCAGCGGATGCCTTGCTTCGGCTAGGAGGGTTTGATTCCGAAGTGAGTTCCTTGTACAAGTTGTCGGCGTACTTGCTCGACGCCTCGTACAGGATGGCTTCATTCTTCATCACATTGAAGCGTGTCAGCTCGGCTGACAGCTTCAGTTCCCTCAGAAGATGCCGAGTGATGGTCGCGGGTATGCCGCGTAGGAACTTCGCGTTCAGCTCGTACTTGGACGGGTACTCGGGTAGTAAGCGCGCGTAATGCTGGAGCGTGGACGCGAACTGGGATACTCCCGTCTCGCTGGAGTATCGTACCCGTGCGTAGTTTGCTTGTGGTGTGTGTACGTGTGCAGGACTGATGAAGTGCTGAAACAGTTCGCACATCATCTTAGTGAGTGTCCAGCGGAACCACTCGTCCTTCAGTACCTCGTACTCATACCACGAGCGCGCAGGTCCGTGAAGCGTCTGGCCGGTGATCAGGACTTGGTCGGGTCCATGGTCTGGCCCAGATATACGCCCAAAGAAGAAATACGTGAGGAGATCCTTTAGGTAAGTGTAGAACACCTCCGGATCGTCCTCCCCGCTATACTTAGCGTTGAGCGTTAGCTTGACTCCTTTGGCCGGTGGCGTATCATTTGGTACGCCGACCCACCGATGCACGAGACGCACGATGTTTGATAGGTGCATCTCAGTAAACCGGTTATACCCGGCTTCGACGTCGTTGAACTCATCGTCGGACGTGTGATTTGTAGCGTTCGGAGGGTGGCTGATGCGGAACATCGAACGCTCGTCAACAGGATAGTTGAATTCAGGCTCGGGTACCCGTGTTGGGCTTTCGATCCGAGGAGATGGGAACACGACCTTGCGTTCAGGGACAGGTAAGTCCGGCAATGCATTGTTATCTACTTTACTGAACACATCTGCATCTACAGGTCTATTCCTATTACGTTTAGCGTAATACTCGTTGAATTCATCCTCCCTATATCTACGGTTGGTACCCCTCTGAGGGGTACTCGAAGCACCCAGGCCGGATGTGACCGGCCTGCCCTCTTGGACACGCGTCGGCGTATGGTCCTCATGCGCCCGAGCTGGCTTGCTAGGAGCGCGGGGTTCATTAATCACGATTCCCGGCTCGCGCTTGTACGGTGTGACGTACTCATCCCGCGTATCGCGGTCGTAATCTTCATCACGCTTCAGCGCGTTGTACTGGGTAGCGATGGCGTGGCCGATGTTGGCGTCGTCCTTCGATGACCCAGCTTTGGCCTTTCCTTTAACTTCGGCGCGCAGAGCGCTGGCTCCGGTGGTGAAGATTCCGCCTTCTCGATCCAGTATATCTGCCTGGATCTGCAACCTATTATGGTATGCGTTCTCTGATTCATCGTTTCCGCGCGGTGCGAAGATCGCTTCGCGCGCTTCTGCATCTATTTCGAGCCCGTCCCGGGTTCCTTGCTTATATGCGTGTTCGACACGCTCCGTTGGGATCCTAGGCGTCTCTTGTTCCTGTTTCACAGCTTTCGGGGCTTCCGGAACCTCGACCACTCGGGTAAGGTCGTTGCTGTCGACCGCTGCTTCGACCCAATTCACAAAGTCAAAGTTTCCTTGTGGTAGCCCAATAAAGCTGCCCTTTTGCGCTAGCTCCATGAGTGCGAGCGCCTTCTGCATCAGTTGGATACGCACAGTCTGCTCGACAGACTGCTTCTTGCTTTCTTCATGACTTATGATGCTCGGGACATTCATTCTCATAGTGTGGTCACTAACGATCTTACTAGTTACAGGAGATGCATGATTACGATGCTCAGGTACACGGATGCCGGCAGTCGGCTGGTCCGTGGCGCTTGAATAGATACTGGTCGTCACCGGGTTCGGTGACATTTGGGGAAAAGTACGCGCATCGACCTCTTCGAGCAACGCGGCTTGCTCGGCGCGGTCAGTGTCCGTAGACTGGAAACTGGTCGCACCGACGTTATTGTCGGTGCTGGTTGGGTCTTGCGACTCACTCGGACCTATCTCGGGAGTTTCCCCTTCGGGCGGAAGACTCCCAGGTAAGATTGGTTCCGAAACGGGCGGTCCCGCCGTCGACGCCAAAGGCGTCGCAGACGTTCCCTTTTTCTTAGAGCGTGTGCTCGGGGCCATCGGTACGATGTCCAAAAGGATCTACGTGTATTCAAAAAAGTGTTGGGCGTTTACTAACGTTCACGCAGGGAGCAGAATAGGCACGCGGTATATTGGTGCAGATACTACTACTGGTGGTCGAAGGTAAACTGGAGAAGGGGCTCCCGAGCCCCGCGAGTCTTATATACGGTATCCTAACCCTAACTCGTACGTAGAACTGTATAGTAGGGTTAGTTAGGGTTAGTAGGGTTACGGGTAGTGCCGGTACGCGGTAGCTACGAATATTCCAAGTAGAAGGTTGAGATATATACCTCCGCGCGCAGCGCGGGTCGGTTCGAAGGCGGCGCGTCCTGGTGACAGGACGCGCAATGCGTGATGTCACGCGTCAAGGTCGAGCTCTAGCGAGCGGACCTCCAACACATGCACGTATACGTTTGCGGTGACGCCCACCGATATCACAATACACGTATAACTTGATGTCGGCATTGTCACTCCAAACAACAGCACCGATACCCAGCGCGAGATTCTCCCAAAACAGCCAGAAACAAAGAAACGCAACACCTAGGTTCCAGCTTTGTCGGACGATGCTGGTCAGTAGCACGAGAAGCAGCATTACAGCACCCAGTAGACAGGCGATGGGATAGAAGGGGTATGTCGGGTCAGAGGCAGTCATCGCGATATCGACAGCACACCCCTGCATGATGAGGCTCGGCCCATTCTTATACCTCAGGCCTTCGGACACCGGGTCCCAATCTCCAAAGTTCAGCCCTCCCGCGCGCGTACATAGATCAGAACGTACATCATCATTCTAACAACGGAAAGCGAGTAGCGTGAGTTTGATGGGCAAATGCCCATCACGCTCTCACTGAGTAGAGCGATCCCCGAACTGAGAACGAGACATCTAAAACCGTCTTGTTTCGGTGACTCGATCCATACGCGGGAAGGGCATGGCAAGCTTGGGAAAGAGTCGAGGTCTCGTGGACGTGGACAGTCGTCGGAGACGTAACACCAATAAGATCTCCACTATTCCCCAGTTCGAAGCCGGTGCACAGCCCGTACTTTGCCGAGTCTGGAAACGAGGTTAGCCTGTACCACCGAAGACGTTTAATCTGTCTCTCACCATCTAAGGGTTCGAGATCGTAGGATGTATCAAATAATAGATGTTGGCCACAGCAACTCGCTACATGGAGAGTAGCAAACGCCTTGAAAAGGTAGAGAGCATGGTGCTCGCGTATGGCCCGGAGACGTTGAACGATGGAATCCGGCCTCGGTGCGCACACGCTCAGGCGTCCACGTCACCTTGTCAGCCCAATGAGTGCTATTTCTATGATGATACGGTTTCAGCAACTCACTGGGCCAGTCGTATGAGAACCTTTTCGGAGGTCACGGCAAGTGCGCTTGATCCCGGCGCTTGAGCCTTGATGACTGTGCTGATGGAGGAGGCGGTGTTGCTCCCCGCTGAGAACGAGCGCCGTTGAGACAGTGGAGAAGTTAAGGCTCGCAACACGGCTTCTGTTCATGAGGAATGATATTCAGATAAAAGGACTGAGGTAGATGAAGTTAGTCATGAGACATGCGTCGACGAGCTGCCAACTCCGCGCGAAGATAGCAGTACGCCTTGAAGCTTGAAGTTCTGAAGGGGACACCCCACGGAAGGGCTCCTAAGTTGGCCAGATCGACAAACGTTATGCATAGCGATTTGAGCTATCATTTGCCTCTGAAAGGGAGACGCCCATGCGCAGACTTCATCGTGGTCGCCGGCAGAAAGAACGAGGTCGAGGCTGTCAACGAGCGGGTGTGAAGTTCGGCAGTCGGGCCGCAATGATCTGCGCCTGCGCGCTTGGACTCTTCACTTCGTAACTTACCTATGTCCACGATGGTCACACCACTCATCAACCTCTGCGATACTCTGGGAGCTTCTTTCATAGAATGCTCGTCTGAGCGCGCGTGATATGGTCACTGTTCCCCTGCCCAATACTAACTACGCGAGACCTGGACAAGCAAACAGCAAATTCGGCCAGCGTGTGTCCGATCTCTTCACCCCTCGGTCCCTCGTCCTCCTACGCTACGGCGAACCAAGACGGCTTAGTCTTCCTCCCCTCCGCGGGCAAAGAATAACCAGGGATCCCTGCGCCTCCACTCTCTTCTCCGCCTTCACCTCCGCAAGCGCGATTATATCGGACTCCTTGCGGCTCGCATTCAACCCCGAATGTGGTCGAACTTGCCACACGCAAACACGGCACCAAGTGGATCAAACTGCTGCGGAACACGCACAAGTGGACGACGACGCCAACGTGAAATGTAGAGAGAACGAGCTCGTCCTCGTAGGCGAGTTGCGCACTCGAGAAGAGGAGATCCTTGTACATGTGTGGGGGTGGTCTTGCTAGTACCAGATAAGTACGAGGAGTCGGAGTGTTGAGGAGAGTGGCGGAGAGACTCATGTTCGTGAATCGGTGCGAGAGTGTAACAGGCAGATAGACTGTGAGCTTTTACCACATTGCCTGTATAACTTCTGTACGGGTACTGACGACCTTCTTTATAGATCGGCGTATCTTACAGTACTTCCTTACCGCCCGATGTGCCTCCCGTATAGGACCCATCTTTTTCTCTCCTTTGGCACTCGTGTATATACTCCACGCCAGCGACGCAAAATATGAATCTGGAAGCACAGAATCCAAGCGCTTTCAGGCGTACGTAGATAACCGCAAGCTAAAGGCAATTCGGAAATACCTGCACTCCGACGTATCCCTCGCGCGGCGAGAAAAAACCTATAGCGCTACAAGATTGAAGCGCTATGGGACCTGCCCTCCGAAGATGCGCGATGCTGCGCTGGATGGGCGCCTAGACGTATGTTTCGGACCCTCGGCAACATCTTCCACTTGAACCCATCTGCGAGGCATCTCCACTACAAGAACCCAGTCAGCAATACCGAATGCTGTGGTTTATTCAGGGCGTACGTCGTATGTCCTGGGCCTTCAACTGGCTCTTTCGTTGGATCTGCACTCAGTCCATCCTGCAGATTGCACGTCGCCGGCTTCCCGACTTTGGAGATGTCCACCGGCCATTCAAGAGAGTTGTCGGGCGTACTATCAACAGCACGTGATCTGCCAAGCATCAGTCATGTAAGCCGACTGCGATAATGAATGGCATCGCACCTGAGTTCGGGGTCGACTAATGTGTCTAGTGGTGGCACTTGGGACTCAATGTCACCCGGTATTGAAAGCCCTTCATGAGCACGCCAAGGTGTCTTCCAGCCGAAACAGTCTCCGACTGCATAGATGGCGAGCTGATAAGATGCGCGAGCTTCCGATGTAACGCCGAAGAGACCGAAGATGGCGAAAGCGAGGATTGGTGCAGTCCATTGGTTAAAGTATAGCTGTGCTACGCCTAGGGGCCCTGTAGCCATGAGCTCTAGGTAGGAAAAGCCTACCGGCGCCCATTCCGTATGATCGAAGGTCCAACCCGGATAAAATACCTGCGGACCACGAGATGATATACTCGTTATGAATAGAACCAGATTCGTGATGCTGGACGGTAGGGTGAGAAGAAGATCTAGGCTGGCGAACGTAAACATGCGAAGATGGTTCGCTCGTGAAATAGAGTGGTGACTGTCCAGGAGGCGACTATTCGGTTTGCCTGTCCGATACAAGAACCCGGCAAGTCGTGCTGGGAAGGACGTGTGTCAGTACCAGTCGGTCTCCGAGGGATCTCAACTGATGTCAACGTACGATAATAGATGGTGATTGATATCAATGGAGGCATCACGCTCCAAGACCAAAGGAGTAAGATATCCAGAACGGAGTTGTCCTCGGCATCTGCACACCCGAACCCTTCGAAAACTTGGAACCGAGAGAATTGCACGACGTAATCTTGTGTCAGAGTGAGAGAAGCCTCGCGTATGCCCAGAAGAAGGCTCACAGACTGGCCCTGAAAGTAGAATGGGTATCACTAGAACAAGTGTCCATTCTATGATAGTATCGCGGTATAGCTGATATGAGGGGAATTAGTTCACATTGGCGCACGAGAGCTGCTCGCTATACTACACCGTTTTAGCATCAGATATTGCCACTGATCGCTCTTTAGTGATCAAGTACAACCGGCGTGTGATGATCAAGGTGGCCATCGGTTTCACGAAGGACGCGATTTCTTGGATATGTGTGACTATGACCACAGGTCAGCGCGACATTCATCCCAGCACATGTCGCGTTCGGCGAGCTTACCGATGTCACAGTATACATATAACCCGATGTCCGCATTGTCCGCCCAGATGATCGCATCAATACCGCCCGAAAGGTTCTCGAGGAAGAGCCAAAAGCACAACGACGCGACGCCGAAATTCCAGCTCTGCCGGACGAAACTAGTCAGCGATACAAGCAAAAGCATCGCTGATGCGAGAATGCAGGCGATGGGATAGAGGGGGTATGTTGGGTCCGCTGCCGCGGCCATGTTGTCATGCATTTCATTCCAGGATCGCCTTCTTTATAAGCATCTTACCGTCGCGAAGTCACCCCAGCGACGACCTATCGAACAAGAAGGCATACGCTCCACGGCTAAAGATGAACGAGGAGGTGTGGTTAGGCGACCGAAGCACGTTCTAGGAAATGCTTCGTCGACGAAACGTACCTAGGAGAAGCGTCGGGACGTGTACGCGTCCGATCAAGGTGACGGGGGAGCAATCTACGCGAGGCGTCGCGTCAGTACTGAGCCTTGAGCGGAGAGAGTCCACCCACAAGGCATTTTCGAGAAGCTGATCCTTTGGTGTCCTGATTGTTGTCCGCGAGGCTGTGAGAGGTTGAGATGAGTGGTGGCCGGTCAGTACAAACGCCGGAACACGGGAAGATGAGAATGCAGAGGCGGTGGTCTCTGACATGGTATTGCGAGTTCCGACCGTAGTAGTGTTTCAACGACTGCATGTTTCTGAAGCATGTATATCGTATATTGAAGCAGTCAACCATTCACTGTGGCTGATGAGGATATCAGAACACATATTCTGGGTCGCAAATTCATGCGACGTAGGCACCAGCTAAACGGATTGCGGCCCAGTCGCATAAGAGACGTAACTAGGTGTTCACGTGGATATGAGATGGGAGGTACTGAGTTCGACAGGATACAGGGAAGGGTGTGGGCGGTCATGCGGACGGGTATGATCGGTACCCGCCAGAATTCTTCTACGTTCTCTGTCCTGGTTATGATGACCGGCGCTCATGGCGGCGTCGTGAGGAGAATGGGATAACCGGCTTAGGAAGGTCCTTTCGGGAGAATACGCGAGCGGAGAACAACGTGGCTCGTGGCGTGTCGCAACGTCCTGTCGAGTGCGTCTTGAGCGGCTGATGAACATGCTCAACGGCAGAAGATGCCACGAAGATTGATGATCTTGCAGGGATACTGTTGTCCGCCCGTTCAACTTGCATCTGGAGGTAGCTCGCACGACCGTGCGCTCGCGAGGTCGTGACGAGAAGAAGGGTACCGATACCCTGTATTCATCCCAGAAGTTCATACAGATGGGTGCTTGTGCTGGGCACCTAAAGCATACGAGCATGCACATGTTGGGTGCAGATCATGATAGTCGGTGAGCAAGGCCGAGGCGCGTTGCGCTGCGGCTTCGGGAGCGCGAGTGGCCCATGCATCGCGTATCTGAGCGCCCATACGCGCTCATATCCGCCCTCTTGAAGCGTCCGCCAAACTCGAAGCTTGAACTCGTACCGCCACCTGTCCCCGACTTCTGCACCGTGCGCAATCGGAATAAAGTCCTTTGACCGTCTGATCTCTGGGCGGTCACTCGGATTGCCGCGCTGACCGACATAGCTCGTCCTTGTGCTGGCCATCGTCGAATGCACGATCTCGGATCTGCACGATGCCCCGACCGCCAAGCGCTTCAGCGCATCCTTATGATATCTCATCCGACACGTATATAGGTCGACTCGACTTCCTTATCTCGGGAAATTTGTAGGCCGACAGTACAGTACAGTACTGTCGCTATATCCGCCATCGAGAATGAATTGAACTTGGATTCCGACGCTCATGGCGCGCGTACACGTCGACATCTCTTCCGAGCCTTGCCGTCCAATGCTTAGGCGCGTGTCCGACCATTGCGTGCGACGCCATGCAGTGCGAGCAGGGAATCGCTTGGCGCTGCATCAGAGGGTGATGGGAGCAATACAATACAGACAGACAACGACCGCTTCACGATAACGCGGGAAGGCGAAAGCAGACGGGCACGCATCGTAGATTTTGTATGCAAGACCGTGCTTCTGAGCTATTCATGTCAATCTCTACAGTACCCTTCGCGTGCCCATATGCAATGGTTCAACGACGCCTCAATGTTCAAGTGGGAATGGCTTACAAATGTCCATGTCTCCGTCACGGCCTAATAAGACGTGATCCATGAACTTCAACCCGCTGTGCTCCACATTCATGCCGCGGTATTCCTCAGATCCCATGATCAGGGGCGTGGGGAGGGACAGCATACCGTAGCACTTTCAGGCCGCCATTATGCTTCTTCTTTCCGTTTTCCCCCACCTCTCAATTCAACCCGGGAATGTCGCTATTGTTGCCTCATACACTCATTTCAAGTGCAGGAGCGTCAGGTTTCATGCCAGTGGACCTTGCGCCAATCTGCGTTCGTGGTTGGGACAGGCCGTGCAAGATGAGTAGAAGACGTACCTGGGTTCAGGCTCAATCCACGTGTCCAAAGGCGGTACGCTCAAGTCGGTGTCACCTGAAATCGGCTGTACAGACTCTTGCTCGTTCGATGTCGCCTTCCAGCCTCTCCAGCTGCCGAGGACGTGAAAAAGACGCCTGTAAGATGCACAAGCCTCGGAAGTAATGCCGAAGAGGCCGAAGATAATGAAAGCAAGGACGGGCGTCGTCCACAGACCGAAGTATTGCTGCGCAGCGTTCAGAGCCCCTCCGGCTTCGAGCTCTGAGTAAGGATAGCTCTCTGGTGCCCAATCAGAATGGACGTATACCCAACCTCCATAGAATGGTAGATTATGTTGAGATGCTTGATCCGTAAGGGCTACCACGACCGATGCAATGCCGATTGGTAGGGTGAAGATGACGTCTATGCTGGCAAGAGCAAGGACTCGGAAGTAGTGCGACCGCGATACTGAGTCGTCGCGTTGCAAGAAGCGATCGATGGACCGGTTGTGGCGATAGAGGAGCAGAACTATCTTGGCTGCAGGCAAAGCACCGTCAGTACACGCAACACGAACGTGAAGTGTCAGCCCAGCTTACGGTAGTACACGATGACTGAAACCAGAGGAGGGAACACGGTCCACGACCAGATGAGCAATAAGTCGAGTATCGAGCCATCCTGAGAGTTGCTGCACCCGAATCCTTCGAGCACTTCGAACCTGAGTTGTTGCACCACATAGACTTCGAGACATGAGTTTGCGCTTTTGCTCGACTAATGGGTGGGCTCACATAACGGGCCCGCAACTATGGCAGGAATGAGCAAACCGAGAGTCCATTCTATCGCCGTATTCCTCCGAAGTTTCTGCGGCACTGGCTCGTCAGCGATAGACCAGATCCATGACATGGTGATTGAACGTACTGCTACATGATCGACAGGATCTACTGAGTGTTGGCTGGCGATTATGCTCAGTCGGCGAGTGATGATCAATGTAGCCATGGGCTTGACCACAGACGTGAAGACTTGGAGGCGAGTGACTGACCAAGACGCTTGACTTGTCAGCCTTTTGAATGTGGACAGTGCATTAGGCTACGCTCACCAATGTCGCAGTAAGCGTAGAGCCTAATGTCGGCGTTGTCGGCCCATACGATGGAGTTGATGGCGTTGGTGAGATTCTCGAAGAAGAGCCAGAAGCACAGGAAGGCAACCCCGAGATTCCAGCTTTGTCGGATAAAGCTGGTCAGAAACACAAGTAGAAGCATCACCGTTGCAAGGACTGAGGCGATAGGGAAGAAAGGATAGGTTGGATCAACCGCATTGATCATATTCTGTAAGTAGCGCCCATGACAGGACTCGCAAAGCCGCCTTATATGAGCTTCTTCGCAGTGACAGAAGCGAACCTGCCAACGATACACAACCATACGCGACATGGAGTATACACGGCACGCGAAATATGCTGTGCATCATAGCTGTGCGCGATCTGATAGTGGTGAATTCGTTGAGCACAACGGTCGCTTGTCCTCTTCTCAAGGCATGTCAGTAAACGTGGCAGGGCTATATAGTGATCGACAACGCACTAGACACAACCCTCGTTCTTTGCGACGGGAGGCAAAGAAATGACGAGGCTACCGGAGACGAGTGTCACCTCTGCGAGGTGGAGGCATGTCAATCTTGAAGTCATCAGATTTAGTATTTCTCGCAAAGCGTCACTTCTCTCGCCACATCTCCACAAACGGCAGTCATACCGCTATGGCACGCAGCATCACTCTCCAGCCTTGTGGGAAGCACATGTACTGGTGTGCTGGTTCTTCTGTAACCACATGTGTTACCCTGATCATTGCCCTCCCTACTGGGGACCGATCGGGGCGGGCAACGAACGACGAACCACGCCGGATGCGGAGGGATCCCATCCTCGTTTCAGAGCTTGATGAACTGTAGGGTTGTGATGCAGATACGTTCCCGACGCTTTGGACTCTCACGGACGCGGTCAAAAGAAGCTGTAGCGCACGCTTTGCGTAGAGTCCGGACCACTACGAAGTCGATACGTGTTACACACAGCCCCAACGCTACCAGCGACAGCACGGGAGGCTATTGTCCTCATGGGGCAAAGAAGGCTCGCATGCGCTTCTGTGTTTGGCGGAGTCTAGAATGAAGAGATGTATTCATGAGAGAACGTAGGTGATGGTGGCGAAAGGATGACCTGCGCGGCGCGTCGCGTCGCGGGCTCAACGCCTAACATTGTGTCCATATCCGTCCACAACACTGTCCGTGGGGATTGTGGCGAGACGCATCGCGCGTCTGCACTCGACCACCAGCAACTATTTACTTCATCCTACATGTCTGTGTGCATCTGCAGTACTGTACGCGAAGCGAGACTCTTGATGCTGTCACGACGAAATACGTCGGCCTCGCAGCTGTCTGTTTAACGCGAGCGACCGAAGCACTCGACGACCACGCCGCGCCAATGCTACTCTGCTGGGGTGAACTTGGGCGCGCAGATAAGCGTGGGTCCAATAGGGTGTGAAGAGGGTTCTACACCGACGGTTCAGTACCCCCAGCTGGGCATTCACCCTCAGCGGGCTTGCGAGCCCGACTAGACCGCCGAACGAGGGCCAGGGAGCATCGATAGTCGCCGCGGGTTAGGAAGGGAGCGTGCAGGTCGAGTAGCCCGCGCCAGCGCTCAAGGATGCACTGCCACGCATGCAATCTCGCGTCGGCCGTATAGGCGACCTTCGACCGTACGGCTCAAGCTATGCGTGGCATACACAGTATGAACACTACTCTCAACAACGGTCGAAGTCAGCGTTCGAACAGCACCAGAGCCGCGCTACACGTCCGTGCAGGGAATATACACTACATACGCGCATCGCGTGTCGCAACCCAGCGTCGCGCGCATCATGCTCACGAGTTCCTCCGCTACTCCCTCCATGAATTGCCCCCGCACAAGGCGAGTACGGTGATGCGCTATATCCGTACGGCCAGGCAGCACATCAATATTCACCTGGATGCGCGCACTCGTACCCACGAACTGGAGCGCTCTTCTCACCTCGCACTTGGGCCCCTCTCGCGTGCTCGCATTTGCTGATGCGACATCTCGGCTTGCCAATGCAGGCAAGTCAGCCATTGTTTTCGACCCCAGCGCGCTTATTGACCCGCCACTGGCAGGAGCATCGTGACGATAGATGGTGCTAGCGCAGATCGTGGTCGACCGCCTTCCGTCGTAGCCATACATGTCTTCTTCCAGTCATGCGACGTATCAGCCTTTTATGTGCACTCATAGTGTTATCTGCCTAATGTAGCGTCCGGATTTCGCTCGCGCGGTGCTGCCGGCAACTGCCGCGGATGCAATGAATCCGCGGCATCTTCCGACTTTGATGGGAGGATTGCTCCCTCGGCATGTCCGGCGCGGCCCGGCCTCGGCCTCTACTTACTGAACCTAAGATCCTCCTCCCTCCTTCCACTCAGTGTCATATGCTTCCATGGCTGCAAGGGTACCCATGGTGCAGCTCCGCCTTCCGCAAACGACTCTATCTCGAGCTCCTTGAGGGTGACGTCTGGCTCATGGTGTGCAACTACACTTGAGCCCGTATCTTGCTTGCGGCTATTGTCAGCAGTCCGAAAAAAGGCATAGATTCGCCTGGATATAACCTGTCTGACTTCCACCGACCTGCGACTCGCAAGTGTTCGCATCCTCCCGTCTTTGTCTTGTGTTATACTTTTCAGTACCTTCTGGTTGTTTCCTTGCTTCGTGTGCCCCGGTGTGAGTGCCCGACCCGTCTGGGTTTGGGGACTATCGCTACTGCGCCTCCGTGCGTCGAGATCGAAGAAGTCAGCTGATCGCGTTTCGGGCGTCCGGCGGCTTATCGGGTTTCTCTATTAAGGCGACACAAAGGCGCCATCCAGCGACATTGCGTCGTAGCATAGCGTGCGCACAGAGGGATATTCGCTGTAAGGTATAAGGCAAAGACTAAAGCATGAGAACATGTACGAGTACCCAGAGGCGTATGGATCATAACACGATACAGACATAAAGACGAACTCCGCGCGGTCAGATCGTAGTCTAGAGTGGATATGTGATGAGTCCCTGTTGCGGTGAAGATAAGACAACCTACCTTCACGAGGGACCATTCTGCAACCAGATTATTGATGCGATGATCCAGCTGCGATAAGCACTCATGGCACTTAAGCATCTTGCCGACATCGAGCAGTCGCACTTCCAATGTTATAGGTGAGATATCTGACATAATGTAATAAGCTAATCGCCCGATAGTTCTGACGAATCGTTGAGCACGCACTAGGACAGGCATCCCAGACGATCTCGCCGATTATTTTAGTCCAGGCCTCGTAAGATGCTCGATTTGCGAGGCCGTTGCAGTCCTCTGTGTTTTGATGTGGCGACGGCCGGGTACTGAGAATACGCTTGAGGGCGTCTATGCGGCCTAGATGGAGGAAGAAGAGGCGTTTGAGATGGAGCGGGCCCATGTACTCTGCGTCGGCATCAGATATCTCTGCGAGCGAGACGCCGAGTGTGTGAGAGGAGGTAGCGATGGCAAGCGTTTCGAGACCTTCATGGGCGGCTAGCGAGTAGCACTGGAACGGCCGCGATGGTGCACAATGAAGGATTGCCACAGATAGTGGAGAATCGGGAGGTTGTACAAGAGCCGTCTTGGAGAGTCCATACTGCTCAAGCGCGATCACCGAGGCAGCTGAGAAGATCCGAAGTTAGTTCTCAGGTTGCGCGTGAGCCGATCATGTCGATATGCACGCACCGAGATCTTCAAGAGAAGGCGCGTACTTCACAACTGATAGGTTGTAGATGGCATGTAATAGCAGGTTGAGAACGGCCGCGGACAGCGGCACGTTTGCCATCGAGTTCGTGGACGCTAGTATGCCGCCGAAGTCGCCAAACGAGTGTGCGCGAAGCGCCGCTGCGTTCACGGCAAAGTGTACGCCATCACTTGTGATTAGGTCGAAGTCCGGCGTATTGCCTTCCGCGTCAGGCGCATCGAAAGCGAAGGCGGTCGACACTCTAATCGACGACGGTCCTGTATCCTCGGCCTCAGCTTGCAAGGAAGGCGGATCCAACGGATCAAGTGACACTCTCCCGTTGCCGGTGCCGAAGCCATCAGGCACGGAAGTTGCGTCCTTAAAATCAGTGTCAAAGGTCATAAGCTGGTCGAGATCGAAGCCGTTGATGATCGAACATGTTGGCACTGTCCAGTCCGGCGCGTCGTGCACCAACGACGAGCAGAGCGAGTCGTTAAAGGCGGATAAGGTACTTGACTGCATGAGGGGAAGATTTGGGCGGTGAAATCCGCGCTCAACAGCTTTGTACCTCCTCGAAGCAATCGTCAGACAGTGCGCTAACTCACATCAACACCAAAAAAAGTCTCCACATACCCTGCACGGCCCTGACTCTTCGTGCCGCCGGGCCATTCGTAGTCCGTATCGATCTTCCGACGCCGCTAACTGGTTCTTGAGTCGCTTCTCTAGCACGGTACGATTGCTCGTAGTTGTGTGAAGGGCATGATGGGCTTTCAGAAGGACACGGTGACTTGGGCAAAACCGTTTCGAAGGTGAGTGACGATGTAATTGACGTCACTGTATGCCGGCGCTCCGTGGACCGTGCCACAGTTCGTCCCAGCCGGTAATTCAGCTACAGGTCGGCGTAATGGCGGTTAGTGTTAAGAGGCACAAAGAAGCTCGCGATAGACGTACAGTTTCCCTATGCAAAAGGCGCCCCTCTTCTGGTATTTGCAACTCGCTGCCATCAGGGGTGCTTCTCCAGTCCATCGACCGGTTGGCGACGCGCGCCGACGCGCGGGCCCTCCGTTCTCTAGCATTGTAGCAGCATTCGAGCCACCGGGCGGCCCGTAAAGCTCGAAGCAGACCCCCAATGGAGAGCCAAACTGCCGAAGAGCTCTGCCTGCACTGGGGACGCTCCATGCGTATCCTGGAGGCTGGGGTCGGGCTACGGTTGCGCCTGAGTCGCTCGGCGTACCATGCATTGTCATGCGGGTCGCTCTATCCATTTGGGAACCTCGAGAACGAGTTCGTTGTGAAAGTTCTCTCAGGCATAGAAATACAGAAGATGGTGGTTGAGAGCGGCAAGTGATGCGACCACCACGCATCCCGACGCGAATTGGTCGTATGCAAGCCCATACGCGCCCATAAGTACTTATGTGGAGACGAGCCTCTTGACGCGCTTCTGCCTACGACCACCAACAAGCACTTGCTTCGCCCTACACATTTTGGTGTATATAGAGCACTCGATGATCCAACTAGACTCAGCATGAGTCTCTAGCGCTGTGGCGATGATGTGTAAAGCCTCGCAGCCTTCTTGCTGGCGTTATATGTTCAGCGACGCGATTCGCGCGCACGCCGTCTACGCCCACTTTCCGGGGGTCCAAGCGCATGTCGTAGCCCAAGAACACATGTAGCTCACGGATGCGCTGCACCTAGTACTCTCAGCGATTACGCCAAATAGCGAGGCGTCTGAGAGATGGAAGAGGGCATGATTGTTTCCGAGTCAAACACGCTCCGAGTCCCACAAACGTTGTATGGCCAAACCACCGCTTTACTGCGATATGGACGCCATTTACTACGATGTCACGTGTACAGCTACTATTCCGGGTGTCTGATGCATGCCTATCCAGAGGCAGCACAGCGAACGCTGAGGAGACAAAGATAACGCGAACGCTGGGCTCTACCCCGACTCCTCGAATTCGACGCCAGGACCACACTCCTGCTCGGTCACTGGTTTGCCAGTTTCTCCATCTTGCTCGTAGATCAGGACGTCTGGGTTGACGTAGCTTGGGTACGACCTGCCCAGCATCAGTTATTTGGATCGTTTGTCCCAGTAGGCCCGAGACGACGCACCCGTTCTCAAGATCCGTCGGTCGCTCGCCGAACTCGATGTCTCCCAGTGGTGAACGCGCTTTGCGCGTGCGAAGGGTCGGCTTCCAACCGAACCAGCCGCAGACAGTGCAGATGACATGCCAGTACGAGGCGCGGGCCTCCGATGAGACACCGAAGAAACCGAAGATGACGAAGGAAAGGATGGGATATGCCCATGAGCTGAAGTAGAACTGTGAGACCATGACAGGCCCCGTGGACAATAAAGCTTGATATGAGAAGGATCTGGGCTGCCAAGCACTGTGGACAACGGCCCAGCCACTATAGAAATAGGTATGACCTCCCTCCATCGGAATTATGTAGAGGATCAAGGCTATGATGCCGATGGGAAGATTGAGCAGAAGATCTATGCTCGCGAGAGCCAGGATGCGGATGTAACTTGCGCGCGACATTTCGGAGTTGTTACTCCGAAGGAAGTGGTTGATATCCCGACCCTGACGGTAGAAGGTCAATACCACTCGAGCTGAAGTGGGATTGAACAGTCAAGGCATGAGCGAACGCGAAGCAACGCATAGATGATAGGAACAGGATGCGCACGGTAGTAGATCAGGACTGAAGCCAATGGAGGAAGAATGGTCCACGAGTTGACCAGTATGCATGCGAGCAGGGAGTTATCCAGGGTATTGACGCAGCCAAAGCCTTCTATCACCTCAAAGCGATAGGGCTGAACAGTATAGTCTGTCAAGATCGTGAGCTTATGGCCCTCGCTCGTGACTATGCGGGACGAACATAGAGGTCCTGCGACTAACACGGGAATCAAGAGTCCCAGGGTCCACTCTATGACCATATTCCGACGTTTCTATGTGAAGCGGCTGGTCAATGATGCTGCTCGGTCTATGAGCACAGCGAAGCGTATCGTACCGCGGATGCTCCGGGTAACTCCACAGTTTGTAAGCTTGCAATGAGATACAGCCGACGTGTTATGATCAGGGTCGACATAGGTGCGACAACTGACGCAACAATCTGTAGGTGTGTCACTGATGTGGCTGATGTTGAGTAACAGTAGCTGCCAAGGGCAGAGACTGGGCGAACCGATGTCACAGTACACGTAGAGTTTTATATCGGCATTTTCAGCCCATATGATAGCATTGACGGCATCGGTGAAGTTCGCAATGAAGAGCCAGAAGCACAGAAAGGCGATGCCAAGGTTCCAGCTCTGTCTGACCAGGCTGGTCATGAGTATCAAGAGCAGCATTCCCGCAGCCAGGAAGGAGGCCATAGGATAAAGGGGGTAGGTCGGGTCGACAGCAGCAACCATGTCGCGTAGCGTGAATCGGATGGTGTTCTCGTCGCTTGGACTCTTGCTTTATGTGTTACTTTTTGCCGTGACAGCCGAACTACGAGAGCTACCGCCGTTACGTAGCTGAACATGCAAACATGTTTGCTCTCTGTAGTTTCAGCCCAAATCAGATAGAAGCATCCCCCATCGCTCACTTCTCGTGAGCCAGTAGTGTATGGAAAGACAGAACCTGCATACGTTTCTAGCTGCGGTTGTGATATCATGTCCTTTCGAATGTTCCAAAGTGCGCGCGCAACAGACGGGGCTTGAGGTGGACATCTGACCGGAAGCGCCATGCATGATCAGGTCAACAGCGCATCGTGCGGTCGTTGCGGTACGTCTTGTACGCATAGATACGTATACCACTGCGTTGTTTAGTGTAGCGCGTTCCTAAACTGATGTTGATGGTGTTGAGTTGGCGACGGTTCTGTAGTGGAGCGAGTGTCTTATGTGCGCGAAGAATCACACCAAGAACATATCTACGCAGATTTGCGAGCATGGGTACTTGTATCGTAGCGATACTACACGGCGATGCGGAAGATGGTGGTCCGGAATCAAAGCGGCCACCGTCGAGCCGAGCCGGACGCGCCCACGGCTACGTGGAGACGCGTCGTGGCGATCATGATCGAGACGCGTCCGAGTTGCGCGCCACGCGCCGCGTCTGCACGTCGACCGTTAACAACTTGCTTCACCCCACATTTCTCTGCGCCTATACATCGAGTATTTGTATACCTGGCCAGAGCAGAGACTAGTCTCCTGGCGTCGTCAAGATGAAATATACCGGCGTCGCAGCCGTCTGGCTCGCGCTGGCTTCGCGATGCGCGGCGTCTGCGCCCCCTATTCGGGTGTCCATGCGCACATCCTGGGATGCACCGGATAGACTGTTGGAGCTAATGTAAGTAACGTATATTACATACGCTAATAGTACATACTGATATGCAGACAGAGAAACAGTATCGCTAGAGAACTCGGACGCGTTCTTCCCACTACTGGACGCCCTAACAGACCCAACCGTGCTCTCACCCCACACCTCGCACACACCCGAAGCACTCGAACACCTTGTGCTCTCCACTGCCCAACAATATGGCCTTCTCTCTCAACCTGCCTCCTTAGAGTCAATACAAATGCAACTGGGACTACACGCTGCATCTCCAAAGTTACAGGCCTTCTTCCAGCACTACGAGGATGTAGAGAGGAAGAGAGATGTGGGGAATTGTGGGAGCTGGGTAGACTGGTATGGGGAGGTTGTGTGTGATTTGGATAGGCTCGTGGAGGTCACGGGCCATGGGACGTTGGACGAGGCGAAGGTTGACGAGATTCACTCGTAAGTGTCTGCACAGTAATGCTCAACATCATACTGACGCTGTGTTTAGAGACCCCTACGCACGACCTAAGATCTTATCCTTCGATCACATCTACCCACCTCCGGCCTACTCCCTGACATCACCACCACGAACGGCAATCCTTCACGGTTCACTTAACTCGCCCAACTTCCGCGAGTTACACACACATCTTCTCGCACTCGCCCGGCAACCAGCGCCTCGATTGGAGTATGTGTTTAGACCGGTACCGCAAGGGAACAAGCACGAACGGACGAACTTATCCGGTTACGGCGTCACCTTGGATCTCAAGAAGACGGATTACCTGGTTCTAGATGATCGAGTGGGTGGTAGCAAGGGTAAGCGTCCCACGCGTGTTCTTGCGCGGATCTAGGTGCTGATTATATGCAGCATACGCGGACAGTGGATCCGCTGATGGCGAGGACGACGCTGCGCCACACGTCGACTTGGTTCTTCAAGCATTAGAGGCTTTTCCGATCCTGAACGAAAGCATCAAACTCACAGACCCTCTCACCGAGACCGAACTCCAGCGTATGCTTCATCGCTTACTCTACCCATGCAAACTCACCCTACCCTCATATAGAGCTCGGCATCCAAGCAACGCACCTAATCTCAACCTCTCCGAACCCACTCGCAACACTCAAACAGCTCTCCCAGAACTTCCCGCGTTACGCCTCCCCACTCGCTCGACGCGCACCCGCTCCTCAAGACCTGATCGACGAGCTCAGCTTGAACTCTATGAAGACGCATGCGGGAATGAGCCATGTGTGGTTGAACGGGGGTGTTGTGCCGCAGGAGAAGATGAATCCGTTTAGGTACACCCACTTCCTCCCTGTCTTCGCCGTGTCCGAGCTGACGTGACGCAACTACAGTCTACTTTCGCTCCTACGCAAAGAGCGCTCCGTGATCACATCGCTGCAAAACCTCGGCCTCTCACCAAACACAGCCTTCAAACTCCTCACCCACCCTCAAATCGACGCGGCGTACTCCAGCTCTGATATACTCGAGGGCCTCTTCGACGCCTCTGACCGGTCCGAAGACGGAGAGCTCATCCTGTGGCTCAACGATATCGAACACGATGAGCGGTACTCGAGCTGGAAACCGAGCGTTATCGCCGTACGACCCTCCTTCTCCTAAAGAGGTCTCCATGAAGCTGACGAGACGCATACAGGCACTACAACAAGGACCCTACGGCATGCCCAACGTCCGCCTCAACCTCGTCAACGTCATCTTCGCCGTCGACCTCACCCTCGCGCGGACGCACTACTTCCTCGCGTCGACCGTCACCGGCTTGATTGCGCGCAAGTTCCCGTTGAGGTTTGGGATTGTGCCGATTATCGGGGAGGGTGGGAGAGATGAGGACGGGGTCAGGCTTGCGAAGGCGCTGGCGTACTTCAGTGATACTATGGATTGGCCGGCGGATACCACTTTTATGAAGCATGTGCGTATCCCTCACAATCTCTCGCGCGTATGCACCAATACTGACGACCTATCCCAGCTCATCTCAAACGTTCGCTCCGAAGCAGACCTCGCCCGACCCATCACAATGGACCACGCCAAATCCGTCTTCGACGAGCTGAACGCCCGCCCCCCGCTCAAAGAAGGCAAAACGCAGCTCTCATGGGAAGAAGTGACCGACATTACCGACGAGCCCGCCCGCAAGTTGGTTGAGAAGTCAAGGGCGTACGCGAAGAGGCTGGACTTGAAGACGGGCGAGAGGGCGAGTCAGGATGAGGGGGAGGGAGAGGCTTTTATGCATGCGTTTATTAATGGGCGACATTATGATGTTGACGATGTGCGTACCATATTCTGGTTCGGGTGTGATTGGAGAGGTGCTGATGGGTTGGTAGACGTTCATTGGCGCTTTGCAGACGGATGTCGGCGCTTTCTTCAGCTACTTCGCTCAGAAGGTCTGTCCCCCGCCTCCTCATTCAACTCCTCGATTCTGATCGGTGCATATAGGTCTACGCAGGCGAGCTGACCGACGAGATCGCGTCGAACACGAACATGGCGGACTATTTCTACGACCTCCCCTCAACGTACAAGAGGCGCAACAAGCACATCATTTCCTCGACCAACCCCGCGGATGTCGATATCGTCAGTTTGCCCTCGGTGTTCGCCAACACGGGGTTCGTGACGAAGGCTGGAGCTTACGTCTACGCTGGTACGTCTTGATCTTGCGCGGCGTGCGTTGGATGGATGCTGATTCAGTGAATAGAGAGCAAGAGAGTGCCGAGTACGATGTACGTCATCGCCGACCTGGATACGGAGGAAGGATTAGCGCTCGTACAGTACGCGCTCACATACCTCGTACGTCCCCCCAGTCCGTCTCCCCTCCCATCAGTCGCGGCCAACTGAAATCGCGCAGGCTACAGTCCCCGATGCAAGCTCGCGTATCTCCTTCGTGCACAACCCCTCGGCACCAGCAGCGCTAGACGATGAAACGCCAACGGGCGTCTCGGCGCTCTTCTCGCATCTGATCGCGAACGAGCGCTTAGGCGAATTGACGCCCGCGCTGCTTCTGAAGGCGCTTAAACTCCACGTGCCGTCCGACGCCACAGACGCTCAAGCTCAAGAGACCTTCTCCTCGACCGACGCTTTAAGCGAGGTCTTGGGCGACATCTCGCTCTCCGACATCGACGCGGCCAACTACACATCCTACCTCGCTTCCTCCCGTCTCCTCCTCAGTCACCTCTCCCTCGCCCCTGGCGCCAACGCCATTCTCATCAACGGGCGCGTCGTGGGACCGTTCGACGCGGGCGAATGGACGGCGGGCGATTTCGAGGATCTGGAGCAGTTCGAGGGCGGGAAGAGGGTCGTGCCTGTTCTTGGGGCGCTGGGGGAGAGCTGGGAGGGGGCCGGGGGCTTGGATGTGTTGGGAGAGTGAGTTGTTCTCTTGCCCGTTAACCAAAGTTGCTAGAGCTAATGCGGGTTGTGTGCGCAGTGCGGAGATTGCGGCGCTCGTGTCGAATGTTGTGTCGATCGTCTCGAACGTGCGGATTCCGGACCCGTCTGAGGCGGGGTTGTATAACTCGCAGCTGTCGTCGAGGAATACGAACTATAGGCGGTTGAGCTCGGAGCAGTCGTACGTCTTTCCACTTGGGTATGCGCTTCAATGAAAAGGGGAGGCTGATGATATGTGTTGGACATGTAGGATGTTCAAGATTGGCGACGAGGTGGATGCACAGTTGCGTTTCGCGGTTATACTTGATCCGTTGAGCGTGGATGCGCAGAGATATTCTGCGTTGCTTGAGGTTCGTGCCGTGCTTTGAGATGTTGTGGATGGTGCTGATGGGGTTGCTTCGTAGTGGGCGTCTAGCCAGCCGGGCGTGTACGCGGAGGTGTATCTTTTGCCGCGGCCGTATGCAGAGGTGCGTGGGAAGACGATCCTTGTGTAGGATATGTTGCTAATGGAAGTCATAGATGCCACTGAAGCGTTTCTACCGGTACAACCTGCTCCCTCAGCTAGTCTACGACGAGTCTGGGTATGCTTCGACTCTTCGCTCACGCGCGAGCACACGCTGACATCTTGACAGGAACGAAGTCGCCCCCGTATCCTCCTTCGACGACCTCCCCACCGAGCCCATCTACACCCTCGGACTGGACGAACCCTCATCATGGGTCGTCCGCCCACGCATCGCAGCCTTCGACCTTGACAACATCCAACTCTCAGCCCTCTCAAACGCTGAAGTCACCTACGAGCTCGATTACCTCTCCATCGACGGCCACGCGCGCGAGGGACACTTTAACCGCCCACCGCGCGGCGTTCAGATGCAACTCGTCGCCAAATCCAACAGCACCAGTGCCCACGCGATCGCCGACACGCTCGTCATGGCCAACCTCGGCTACTTCCAGTTCCGCGCCACGCCCGGCGTATACACTCTCGAGATCCGCGAAGGCCGCGGAAGAGATATATACGAGATCGAAAGTGTTGGGAATGAAGGGTGGAAGAGCCCGAGTGTTGCGGAGGGAGGAGATAGGGTCACGATTACGAGTTTTGAGGGGGTGGTGCTGTATCCGAGGTTGAGGAGGAAGGCGGGGAGGGAGAGGGATGATGTGCTTGAGGAGGATGACCAGGAGGAAGGAGAGGAAGGGGTTTTGGAGAGCGTTGTTTCTGGGTATGTGCGCTCGGTCGTCTTGTATGAGCGTGAATTGACGAAAACGGTACAGGATATCATCGCTCTTTGGCAAGAGCAAGGACAAGCACGAGGAGAAGGCTGTCGCCAAGTCGCGCCATGCCGACATCAACATCTTCACCGTTGCTTCGGGCATGTTGTACGAGGTGAGCACTGAGTCTCTTCCTCATCATGAACGTGTATTGACTGTGTTGTAGCGCTTCGCTTCGATCATGACGTTGAGCGTCATGCGCAACACGAACCACACCGTCAAGTTCTGGTTCATCGAGAACTTCCTCTCGCCGTCCTTCCTGGTCTGTCCCCTCTCCCTCCTTCCATAGTGCCCTCACTAACGCCGCTCCTACAGGAATTCATCCCCTACCTGGCCGAAGAATACGGCTTCCAATACGAACTCGTAACCTACAAATGGCCAAAATGGCTGCGCGCCCAAACCGAAAAACAGCGCATCATATGGGCCTACAAGATCCTCTTCCTCGACGTCCTCTTCCCCATGGACCTCGACCGCGTCATTTTCGTCGATGCGGATCAGATCGTACGCGCGGATCTGATGGAGCTCGTGGAGATGGACCTGCAGGGCGCGCCGTATGGGTATACGCCTATGGGGGATGATAATGCGGATATGGAGGGCTTTAGGTTTTGGAAGCAGGGGTATTGGGCGCAGGCGTTGGCTGGGAGGCCCTACCATATCAGGTATGGGATCTATCGCTTCGGAGACGAACCGCGGCTGATAGACGCATAGCGCTTTATATGTTATAGATCTCAAGCGCTTCCGACAGCTTGCCGCCGGTGTAGGTCGTCGCTTTAACCTTTTCACGACGTTGGACTGAACGGTCATGCATAGGACGTTCTCCGCTCACACTACCAAGAGCTGTCTGCCGACCCCAACTCGCTCGCGAACCTCGACCAGGGTACGCACGCACAACTTCGATTGTTGTGCAGTTCCTCGTGCTGATGTTTGGCTTGCAGATCTCCCCAACAACCTGCAACGCTACGTGCCCATCTTCTCACTTCCCGAAGATTGGTTATGGGTACGTCATTCGCTCCTGCTATGCTCTATAAGAGTCTAACGGACCGGTTGTAGTGCGAGACTTGGTGTAGCAAGGATCGTCTTGATCGCGCAAAGACGATTGACCTTTGCCAAAACCCGCTTACAGTCCGTTTCCTTTCCCAAGCTCTCTATGCGGCAGTCGCTGATGTCAGTCCAGAAAGAGCCCAAGCTCGCTCGCGCGCGCCAGATCCCTGAATGGGAGGTCTACGACGGCGAGATCGCGCGTCTGGCTCGTCGCCTGGCGGACGCGGGCATCATTCACGCTAGCGCCGCTGCTGCGGATGTGTCAGATCTGGCGAACGCTGCCTCCGGAACTGTGCCGGTACCGACTGAAGACGCGGCGGAGACGACGGAGGCGAGTGAACAGGACACCTCGGGCGACGGGGAGGAGCAAACGCGGCATGACAAGCACGATGAGCTCTGATCAAGACAACTGCAATAAATGGATGTATAATTTTGCTTCATTGGATGGAATAGAACATGATGCCTTCGAGCCACCTGCGGTGTCTTCGGCATTTGCCGAGTACACCACTCAACAAGGCGGATGCAATAGGTTGCCATGCTTCTCACCTTGACACTGACGTCGGCGAGGTATGCAACATTCAGGCCTCACTCCAGTACAGGCGTCTTAAGAACGATGCCTGGATGTCTGACGACCTGAATCAAATCAGTCTACCTTCCCGCCACCACCATCACTAGATCCAGCGGCATGACAAGAATCGACGCTTCGGAGGTGAGTTCTTCGCGCACCTAGTTTCCTTCAAGTACTCGTTTCCTCAACATACTCAACGATCTCAATAGAAGACAAGCGACACGGACACCGTAAAAGAGGACGACCCAGTCACCAGTCTTGCCCTGGTCATATCCCGATTAACTTCCCTTCCTGTTGCTGATGTGAGCGCGCCCAGCAATGTGTCCGAAACCGCTTTAGATCACGATGCCACCCAGTCCAATACTGCCCATCATGATCGGGGCGTGAAGTCTGTGGACGGATTCCCATCGTTGACGGGCCATTTCCTCGAGAAGGAGTATAGGAATGACATCGCTGCTTTCTGCGTTCGCGCTGGCATCGACCGACAAAGCTTCGACAAGCTATTTGGACTGGAACAGGAGCTTCGCCACCAGATACTCCCTCTCTGGATCTGCACGCACGCGCTACCGGACGTAGACCGCGCAGCCGACTGCCTGCAAGAGATGCTTGATCTAGTCCCCGAGGACAACGCCATACGAGCATCATTGCTCGAGATCCACGCATCCGTTCTGGTCGATAGATCCTTGATCTCCCTCGACCTGAATGATCTTGATCTGGCCTTGGCCTCTCAGTTCTGCGCATGCGCTATCGGTACGGGCGTCCTAAGACCACTTCATCTCGCTCGTTTGGGTTTGGTGTACTGGCATCGATTTGAGCTTACCGACGACGAGGACCATCTGGATGCGAGCACGAGTTCATACGAGGAAGCGGCCAGTCTCTGCGAAGGGGATTTGGCGGTGCAACAAGTCGTCGCTCTGGGTTTATGCGCCGATGCCAAGTTCAACAAGCACCGCCATCTCGGAAGACTGCAGGATCTAAACGAGGCCATCTCCCTCGCGCGGCGCGCTTTATCATACTCTTTCGAAGATCCCACACTGCGCGCTGCGTGCTTGACTCGCTTGTATGCCTCATTGCGCGCTCGCTATGAGCGTCTTGGGGACGTGGCGGACCTGACAGCAGCGATCTTCGCCGCTGAGACTGCCGTAGAGCTCGCGACGGCTCGAGGTCCAGACAAGATGGAGTACCTTGCGCAGCTTGGAGATGCATTCCGAGCACGCTTTCGACTCAACCATCAGAGGACGGACATCGACAAAGCCGTCAGCTTGTCGCGACAAGCTATAGAGCTTGCGACTACGTTGAACAGTCGTTCGGCCTTGGTCTTGAGTCTTCTTGGGAGCGCATACGCACAGCGGTCGTTGGCGTACCAGAGCTTTCCCGATCTAAACGCCGCGATCATGGCGCATCAGGCTGCAGTTCAGGGGACGCCTCGGGGTGACCGCGACGTATACGTCTGCATGGCCAATCTGGCTCAGACTCTATTCTCCAGATATACACTGGTCCATGACCCTGCGGACTTGGACGAGGCCATCCGTTTCAGGAAGGACGTGATTGCATCCCTACCTGATACGCACTTCCACAAGAGCCAGATGCTCACCGAGCTAGCTCTTGAGCTACGCGAGAGGTCTTCCGTGAAATCATCTCTGCGCGATGAGGCCATCGCAGCTGCTCGACTTGCTGCCGAGAATGTACACAGTCCTGCATCTGTTCGGTTTACCGCCGCTCGATTCTGGGCATTCCTCGCATACAGTCACCTCGGCCCCGAGGGCTCAATGCCTGCATGGAAAGTTGGCATGTCCCTCATATCTCGGGTCGTATGGCTCGGCGATGCCATCCAAAGACGTTACGTCGAACTTCCCATGGTGACGGCCTTTGTCAACACGGCAGTCGCAGCAGCTATCAGTGAAGGGTACTATGCTCTAGCTGCTGAATGGTTCGAAGAAGGGCGATGTGTGGTCTGGGCCCAGATCCACCAGCTCCGATCCCCTCTGGATGACCTTCGTTCTTCCGGCGAAACGGGGCATAAACTGGCGGACGAGCTCGAACAGGTGTCCCAGGAGCTCGATCGTGCCGGTCTGCAGATGTCTGAGGATTCGGCACTGAGTGTGGTCAGCTTCACTTCCAACACGAGCGAAAGCCGACACCAGAATCGCCATGGCCTAGCGCGGCGCCACGAAGAGCTCCTTGACCGAGCGCGTGCGATTCCAGGCTTTTCCGACTTTTTGCGTCCCAAACGACTAGATGCGCTCCGGGAAGCGGCAAGGCTAAGCCCGGTCGTCCTTATGTGGGTGTTCGAAGGCGGCGATGGGCACAGCCTCGTCATATTGGGTCCTCAACATAGGGCACCCTTCATCTACATCTCGTTACCGGCGCTCACTGCGTCCCTGGCTACCAAGATACGCTCGCTGTTCCTACGCACAATAACTTCTGCCGGAGTGCGCTCCCGGGGCGCGGTCAATCCCAGGCAAAATGGCGGCAGCGATGAGATGTTGCGCGTCTTGCGTACTCTCTGGTCTCATGCGGTCGGGCCTACTTTGTTGAAGCTCACTACACTGAGGGTCGTGAGTGCTTCGCAACCCGCACACCGGCTACTTTCACACTGACTTGCGCGGTGTAGCTTCGATCCCCGATGGAGACGGGTAAGATCCCACGTATCACTTGGTGCCCTGGTGGTACCCTGTCCTTCTTGCCATTCCATGCCGCAGGCATGTACGACCCTAGTCGTCCGGACAACCTCAACGCGATGGACGTTGTCGCATCCTCATACACACCATCTCTAGCCACTCTCCTGAACGCGCACCGTGCAAGACGACCGCCGAGTCCCAAGGTCCAAGTTCTTGTCGTCTCACAACCTGCTACTCCACGCCAAAGTAGGTTGCCCGCGACTCTCGTTGAGGCAAAGCAAGCGATCGGCATTCTAGGTCAAGATCGCACTGTCTGGCTGAACGACGCCGCTGCCACGAAGTCCGCCGTTCTGGATGCAATAGCGTCTCACGGCTGGGTGCATCTAGCCTGCCACGGCGCCCAAGCTAAAGACCCGATGCAGAGTGCTTTCTACCTCTACGATGGACAACTCACCCTCGCGGACATCATGCAACGGAGCTTCACGCATACCGACCTCGCTATACTATCCGCGTGCCAAACCGCAGCCGGTGATGAGGCGCTCAGCGACGAAGTTGTCCATCTCGCGGCCGGCATGCTCGGCGCGGGATTCCGAGGGACTGTCGCGACGTTATGGTCGATCTCTGATGCAGACGCGCCGGTGGTCATGAAGGAGCTGTATGAGCGCCTTGCAGCATGGGGTCTCAACAGTGAAGACGCAGCTAATGCGCTGCATGTCGCAGTGACCCGCCTGCGCAATCAAGTTGGAGAAAGGACCTTCTTGCGTTGGCTTCCCTTCGTACATTATGGCATATGATACTTTGATCGCGGGTATACATGTACTATGCTACAGCAGGGGAGACTCGTTCAACATTAAAGTGGTACTCAAGGGTTCCATTGCGTCCGGTGGTAACTGTCCGTGGAGGGTCGTAAGGGGGAAGGGTATACATAGTGTGCGGGTATTGTTTCATCGCGGGATGGGCGTCCTGAGTGTCCGGATTTGGTACATTGTGGTAGTTGACTCTCTCCGTAGGGCGCCTCCTCTGACAGAGTGCCATGATCTGCACGAGCGTTGCTCTGAAGCTCCTCTTCTCAGACCTACTGTCCTTCCAATCACAGCACTTCACAGTGATGCAGAGAGCAAGGAATGCAAGAAAGAAGAGTACGATCAAACCCGCTATGACGATGAAGATATATCCTCCCACACTCAAGTGGAACTTTGCGGGAGCGTCGACGAGTGGAATGGCAGGCCCGATAGTGGCATTCAAGCACGTCAAGAGTGTCTGATCTACGCTAGCAGGTAGCGGCAACGCCGTAGCGTTGGGAACATTACTTAACACCACCGTGTTATTGTAGCCTTCCAACGTCAGAACAGCAGAGCTGGCGCGATAGTACTGCACGGCGTCAACAGCGTGCGGAGAAGTTGAGTTTTCTTCGGTGTACGCAAAGGGAACTGAGGATGACGTCGCATTATTCAGGTTGCCGTGAAGGGAGCAGTTCGCTCTTATGAGGGGTAGGACGGCGAGCACTGTGCTGTTGTCGGCGAGGAAGTGGAAAGTGGAGTTTGTGATGTTGGATCGCAGCGTAGCTTGCATGAGCACGCCACCGGGGCGTGAGCCATTTGAGGGCGATCCATATTCACTAGTCGCATTCAGGTACGGCGGATAAGACGATGTAGGAGGTGTTTCCCAAACCAGAGGGTAGTAGTAGTACGGAAACGGTTGGCCTACGACGCCACTGCTTCCGAAGGGGCGGTTTGGGTAGCCACTTCCGTAGACGCTGAATGGCGCTTGAGATGATACCTACCCGCCGGAGTCAGACTACGTACCTCGTTCCGTATATCCCTGATCGTGAGCCACCGCCGACGGTGCGCCCTTCGAATGCACCACTGGTGATCTTCGATGTCTTGCCACCACCACTGCTATATGTGACGGCGCTCGCCTGCCCTCCCAGAAGATGGGGCGTAGATATGGTTTTGCTCGAGGATGCTGAGAATCGTTTAATATCTGAATCGCATCGGACGATATGGGGCACACGTACTGTGGGTGCTGCTACTCGTCGATTTGCCAAAGCTACCCGAGCTCCCTCCTTTAGAGCTAGAGCTCTTGCCGCCACCTTTCCCACCGCCGCCTTTCCTGCGCGCTAGACGAGAGGGCGCATCGGAAGGGAGAATCAAGGTATTGGACGGTGTCATCGAGGAGAGATCTGTCAGTGGGAGTTGTGAGGAAGGTCAGTCGCCACCGGCTTCGAATTGTTCTTATATGTTTTGGAGAACAACCACAACCATGACCATACAGTTTCTCCCGCTTCTTGAACAAAACAGGCGGATGCGGGCATAATTCAGCCGGATACAGTTGGAGCGTCTCACTACGCGTGCGCCCTAATCGAACCCTGATAAGACGGGGAGAGACGCGGACGTCGCTGAAGACGGCAGCAGGCCCTGTGCCCTAGAACAAGTGAAAGGATGCGATGCGCGAGCACGATGCAGAGATCGAATGTACAATTGGACGTTCGACTACCAGTCAATAGCTACAGTGCGAGCAGTGCAATGGCCATAAAATGTAGCGGACCGATGAACCGACCCCCAGCGCTTCCTCCAGTTCCGCTCGTCATCCGGCTGCCGATTGAAAGTTGGGTAATGGTGATATATATTTGAGCGCACGAGGCTTGACTGTCAGTGCAGCTCATGCAAGCAAGATGGTGGTCAAGAGGCAACCTGCGTGAGAACGCGTGCTTGCTGTGCTGGGCGATGTTGGGACGCGGGAAGAGTGCGTCGTCCCATGCCTCCACGGCTACAGCTCCTTGCCCACGACTTGGACGTTGACCCCGATGACCTGAATAGCGATCCAGGTGTCATCGCTTCTATGCCTCTTCCTTGGGCGGGCTCGCGGCGCCGCCGCCGCTTCTCTAGGGGTCCGCTCGGTTACCTCTCCCGCTTCGCTTCACGCGTACACTTCCTACCAGTATTCTTCCTTGCTGTTGTCCTACTTGCTCTCTATATAATCTGCTTCTATCTGCGCGCACTCTGGTGGGGCGCAGACCCCGTTGCTTCTATTCAACGCGACGTCTACACATATGTCCCGAATCGGCGCCCATCATGCCCGATGCGCTCATGGCAGCGCGAGCGCTACGCCCATATAGAACATGCCAACCGGACCCTCTTTATCGCCGCCAATCTGTATAATAACGAGGACGTGCTTCCAACATTCTTTCAAGAATTGCCGGTCCTGCTGCAATATCTGGGTCCGGCCAATGTCTACATATCCATATATGAGAACGGTAGTAGCGACAAGACGCCGCAGCTACTCGACTTACGTGCGTGATGCGTATCTAGTTGCACTTGGTCAACTGAGCTAACGCCCAACTCTAGTCCGCGAGCTACTTACCGTCACTGGTACCCCGCATCACATCCTGTCGGATCCCAACGCGCCCGTCTCGCACAATCAACCTGGACATCGGATCGCCACACTGGTTGGCGTGCGCAATCTTGCTATGGAACCATTATACAGCGGCACTGCAGCTGCATACGTGCCTCATGAGAGATTCGACGAAGTTCTCTTCCTCAACGACATCTTCCACTGCGCGTCGGACGTCCTCGAACTATTTCACCAAAAGCGGACTCAAGGGGCAGACCAGGTCTGCGCTACAGACTGGGGAGACCCGGTAGTATACGATCGCTGGGTTTTGCGTTCTATCACCGGAAAGTGAATTCCGTCATTTTCCAACACCTCGAACACCATGCTCACGCACACTTTTAGCTCGTTCTATCGCTACGATCAACTTCAAGACTACTTCAACAAGCCTGGTCCAGATGGAAAGCGCACAGCCGTTCCACCTGTCCTTCCTCACGACGACAAGGATCGTACGCGCTTCCTCGCCAACCTTCCGCTACAGGTCTTCTCGTGCTGGAACGGCGCAACGGTGTTTGACGCCGACCCATTCACGACGGGGCCAGACCCACTGCGCTTCCGTATGTCCCACGCGGATTTGGACAGTGACGGACAACCAAAAGAAGCGACCGACAAGGCGAGCGAGTGCTTTTTGCCCAGCGTAGACCTATGGCGCCAGGGCCGTGGGCGCATCCTTCTCGTGCCGCGCGCCAGCGTTGCCTATTGGTACGATGCATACCGGACGTACAGGAAGGACGGCCTTTTGCCAGCTTCGCCAGAAGAAGAACGTGTGGAGTGGGTGGATGTGCCTCCAGCAAAGGTCGCTATGCAGGATAACGCCGTGTGGTGGGAGGCAGAGGTGCGTACTTGGTTCATTCTAGTCCCTCGTGACGACTGACCCGATCTGCAGCGGTGGGCACCTTGGGATGAACAATAAAATCTAGACATGGCTACGGACGCTTTGCGCCTAGGCGAGTAATCCTACGATGTACATTCGTAATCCTAGACACGACATACCCCCACCTACACGCATACCTATCTCAAACATTGTTTCTGCATACGCATGATCTCGGCCAGGACTAGAAGGGCCAAACGCAGCCCTCCTCTCGAGATTCGACCCTGATCAATGTTGCGCTTCTCCCAGCTAACCCTATCTGAGATAGGCACAGCAACAGCCAACGCTTAACTTGCAATGACTGGGACAGAAGGTTCAGCAGTACACCTGAAGACCCTCAAAGTTGGGTGCCCAAGTGCTCAGCTTCATTATGAAGCGGGTGAGTTTAGGCCCATTCAGTAGCAACTCCGTAAGTCCCTGACTCCGACCCTCCAGCCCAGACTGACCGACCTGGTGTCACCCTATTAGTGATGCAGAGCACTCAGGGCTCGACCGCCGGTACCTGCTGCTACGCTTGACGGCCCCGCAGCCCGCCAAGTACGTGTTGCAACGGCAGCTGGCTGCCCGTCGAGTGGTTCAGTATCACGAACTCACGCATGTCTCATGTATGCATGAAGCAGCGTCAGGCCTCGTGTCGTATCGCATTGTGTAACTAGGATTTTCCTACTCCCAGACTCTATGCACCTAGTCCTTCAACGTATGTCCGTCTGATACGCTGATCGGATACGTGCTCACACCAGATCTCTATTTTCAGCAGCTATATTCATAATTATTACCATGGCGACCCAGTCTTATGGTTGCGGTCACCACTCAAGACATGGCAGTCGGGCACGTCTCGGTCAGGGCTTCCGGCTACCGGCAATACACTCGGGCCGGAGAGACGGATGTGCGCGGTCAACCTCTCCTACGACTTATCAACTTATCAACATCGCGTCGAACAACCGGATCTCGGATGTACATGACGGTAAATTTCGCCATACATCGATTTCTCGAAGGTGTCTTGACCATGATAGTGTGCAGACACCACACCTGGCCCGACATCTTGTACGGGTGCACTAACGTGGAGCAGACCTCACTGATATGTGCTTATTCTATGTAAGACCTCGGAAGAGGGAGCACTCAATTGCCGGCGGTTGCGCAATGCCGCGCCACACAAGCTCACTGATTCCGGCTATTTGAACCGGACGTCATCGTAAGGGAGTCATCAATCCTGATCTTGCGAAGCCGGTAATACTTCTGCTCTGTTTGGTGGTTCAATATGGCTCTAAAAGACTACAGTGAGTGCCCTTACAGTAGTCCACTTCTCATACTCATTGAGTTTACCGTCCTCAATCCAGTCCTGACAAAATAAAGTCGCCGCGGAGTGACGGAGTTTCCGACCACTGCGCACATGTTGGAAATCCGGGCTGAGACAAAGGACCTCCAGGGCTCGGCCCGCTATGCACGACCCACGCGTTTGTCGTTGTAACCCACGTCCGGTAAAGAGCCAGGTGCCTGACCAATCTATCCGGGCCAACCTTGAACGCAAGTGCAAGCGGAGAACTATATATCCAGGCCGGTTCTGAAAAGTTCCCCCTGCCCGTCTCTGTGCTCCGACAGTCCCCCCTTTACGGGCTCTTTGCTTCGCTTTACGCTGCGTGTCGCCGTTCACCCATGGCATCATCCCTCCAGCCCGAAGCATCTGGTACCAGTGCGCGTTTGCCGCGCATCGACTCTATGGCGCCATCTGCGACTTCGACCATGATTGAGGACGACGACGCGCTTGAGGAGGAGATCAGGAGAGACGAGGAGCGCATTGAGGAGTATGGTGGTGATGATCCCGAGGAGCCAGCCACCAAGTCGCCCGCGCTCAAGTCTCCATCGCTGAAGGCTGGAGCGGCCTCGACACCCGCCTTCCACCAGAAACACGAACATGACCCGAATATGGTTCGCTTTGCAGGGCCGGAGGATAAGGGGAATCCGCAGAACTGGTCGAGGAAGTACAAGTGGTTTGTCACGATTATCTGCTCCCTCATGACGGTCAATGTGTATGTCCATTCATCCCTTTGAATACGTGCTGTAGTTTATCAGGTCTGTAGTACGTTTGCGTCTTCCGCGCCGGCATCAGCGACAGGCTTGATCGTGGTCAAGTTTGGTGTATCTCTCGAGGTGTCCTACCTGATTACCACATTGTTCTTGCTTGGCTATGTTGCGGGCCCGACTCTTTGGGGTCCTGGATCGGAACTTGTAGGACGTCGTCCTATCTTCGTACGTCCCTCTCTACGCACTCTTGCCCTACCTCTCTAACAATCACGCAGTGTGTGACCATGGTGTGCTATACACTCTTCATCATCGGCCAGGCGCTCGCGCAGAACATCGAGACTTTGCTCATCACCCGCTTCTTCTCCGGGTTCTTTGCCTGCGCGCCCCTCACGAACTCCGGCGGTGTCATTGCTGATATCTGGGACCCTATCACTCGCGGAACCGCCACGTCCATCTTCACGACCATGGTGTTCTTGGGTCCCGTCTTGGGCCCGATTGTGTCCGGTTTCGTCGCCGAGGACACCGGGAACTTCCGCTTGGTGTTCTGGGTTATGTTCGCCTTCGCTGGCTTCTGCTCCGTCCTCACGATCGCGTTTCTTCCGGAGACATACGCGCCGAGGATCCTCGAGAAGCGTGCGAAACGCCTCCGCAAGGAGGACCCGGTCAAGAACAAGGATCTTTACGCCGAGGCTGAGCGCCAGGACTGGGAGTTCAAGGGTCTTATGGACCGCACGCTTAAGCGCCCTTTCAAGATGCTTGCTGTCGAGCCGATCCTGCTCCTGGTCACCATATACCTTTCGGTTGTGTATGGCGTCCTGTATGGATGTGAGTACTTTCGAGCTGTCGGAATCTCTCCAAGCGTTGACGCGATTCCACAGTGTTTGAGGCAATCCCCGTCATTTTCATGGAGAAGCGCGGCTTCACCATCGCGCAGAGCGGTCTAATCTTCATTGCGGTCGGTATTGGCGCTACGCTCGGCTCCATCATCAACGTGTATGCAACGAGGATGTATCCTACTCTCGTCAAGGAGTGGCGCGGTTTCCCGCCCCCGGAGAAGCGTCTGTACGGTGGAATGGTTGCCGGTCCCGCGCTCGTCGTTGGCGCCTTCTGGCTTGGATGGACGGGAAATTACCCCAACGTTCATTGGGCGGCGCCCGCGGTCAGCTTGGTGCTGATTGGCATCAGTGTCTCGCTAGTCTTCATTTCGTTCTTGGTACGTTACGTCGGTCGCCGTCGTTGTTTGTGGCCAGTCTAATCAATCTTACAGAGCTATCTCGTGGATACATATCTCATGTATGCTGCATCTGCGCTCGCCGCGAACACCATCATGCGTTCGGCCGTTGGTGCTGCTTTCCCGCTGTTCACGACCAAGATGTACGAGGGCATGGGAGTACAATGGGCCAGTACGCTCATCGCGCTCGTGGCGCTCGTCCTCGCGCCCATTCCCTTCCTCTTCTACAAGTATGGCGCCCGCATCCGCGGCAGCTCGAAGTTCGCCCCTTGCATCGACCTCAAAATTGCGGCCGCCATCGCTGCCGAGAAGGCATCTCATGAGTCCAAAGCCGAGCCCTAGGCATTGCGCTGACTCTGGACGTCTTGCACACCCCCTTACGCCTGCTCACGAATGAGCCAGGTCTGCGCGGTCACGCGGCGGTGGCACGTCGTGCTCTTTGTCGAGCACGCTGTCTGGTCCTCGTTGCTTCATGCAGACACACACCCTACTCCGCTTCACGCCACACTACGCCCTTCGCATCGCATCACAGGTCTTCATTCAACGCACCAATGTATAGTAGTGACAGTACAATTTCCCTTTCGGCACCCCATATCATGGACATCATCGCTTAGACATATAGATATCCGGCTCCTGTTCACGACGCAACACGATTACTACGGCTAGAGCTACAACGTCGCTAATCTACATTCAATTCATTATCTTGCACCAATTCCTTTCAGTCAGGGATCGGGCCGTTTGTCCGTAGGCCGAGACGTCGCAATCATTGGCCTGTCATCGCTGATGCCTCTCTGTGGTGCACTTTTCCTCCACACTTTTGTCAGTCGTCTTCGATACTTATCCAAATCACAAAGATCAAAACATTCTGACCCGGAGCCGGACGCTGAGCACTGAACGTGAGAGGGTTGTAGTCGATGCTTCGGGCGCGCGCGTCGGGCGCGGAAACATCTTGCCTGTCGCCATCATCATCCAGGCATACATGTACGCAAGCATCTACCCCCTGCGCACCTCTGGCCCTCACATGTCACAACGCATCGGTATCATTGTCTCTTGATTGGACGGCTTCTCCTTGGACGTGAGGCAATGGGTTCGGCACATTACCATCCACTCTGGCCCGTCGCGACTGCTCAGCGTGAGGACGATCATTGGGATCGTGGGTGTGTAGAGGCGTGCATCCGCCGTATCGGCGCTCGCCGACACCCTTGTAGCCGTACCCTTTATGGACAGCCTGTCAGGCGTTTCAATGCCCCATTCGCGCGTGGTGTACTTCCACGTTCCCAGCATGGCAACCCACGGTTCGGCTTGCAAGAATATGCTGATTGCATCTCCGAGCGCGTATTGCGGTGGACGAGATGATTGCATGCGTTACATCGGATCGTCTCCTGCCAGCCATACGTTGGTGCACGTGGCTGTATCACCCCCGGGGTCTGGTTGTAGCCCAGAGTAACAGCCAGACTATCGACATTGTTACATACCACTACTACAGGCACGTCGAATACGCTTCGCCTTGATGCAATGGATGTTCTTCTATCGTGCCACGATTTCACCTCAAATTGGCTCCTCCATTCGCTCGTGACATCTGCTTCTCCCGTGGATGGTACGTTCCAACCGTGGCGTCCGCTTCTCCTGGTTCCTGACAGTAGCCTCCTGCCTACCAGGTCAAGCGATGCTTCTCCCGAAAATCCATATGTGCGACTTGTGTGCGCGCGATGATCGCGGTAGCTCCGTGCTGGTGCACTGCCATGCCGAATAGTGTGGTATAAAGTTACGGTGGCGGTGCTTCAGCTGGAGAGAACCGTGCATTCCAACATGTCCGCCGCAGTCGACCCGACGTACCCTCTCTACCCAATAGCCTGCATTCTCTCTGCTACAATGCTAGTCCTTGTGCTCTTGACCAGCTTCGTCCGCCAGAGCTGGAATCTGGGAGTCGCCTTCCTGTGTTTCTGGCTCTTCTTCGAAAACATCACGAATGGCATCAACGCCATCGTATGGGCTGATAATGCAGATCTCAGGCTCTATGTGTATTGCGATATCGGTCAGTCTTTCTCATTCATCACTCTTCGCGAGGCAAGACCTCATCTATATGTGACAACAGTTACGCATCTGCAACTTATATCATCTGTGGTCAAACCTATGGCAACATTGATCATCACACGCCGTCTATACCTGATTGCCAGCCAGCAGTCCGTGGAACTGGAAAGCAAGGCATCTGTACGTTATGTGGAAACACCCAGACACTCCATGCTAATGCGTTCTTATACAGAAACGCAAGGATCTCCTGATTGAATGGGCCCTCGCCTTTGTCATCCCTGTACTTGTGGCAGGGCCATTCTGTGAGTGTGCACTCACTCAGCGAAGCCTACGTGCTGATGTAGCCTCAGACTACATAGTGCAGCAACTTCGCTTTCAAGTACTTGAGGGATTCGGATGCGGGAACTCCCAAGACGGATCAATCCTCGACATCTTGCTTATCTGGTCCTGGAGCGTGGTTCCTCCTCTAGTATCCGTCGTGCTCTACTACCGTGCGTCGCATACCCTTGTTACATGCGCTTCTTCTGAGTGTTCCACAGCCCGAGTAGCTAGGCTCTTCTACCGCCAATGCCAACACATCAACCACTTCCTTAATAGTAACGACTCGATGTCACGAACGAACTACTATCGCATCCTCGCCCTTGCTAGCATCGACATCCTCCTCACCTTACCAATCGGTATTGCGAGTGTTGTATTAGTCGCGACGGACCAGTCGTCGCAGGGCATCCTGTCGTTCTACTCAGGTTGGAGATATGATCATACGGACTGGGAGCCGGAAAGCTATCCTTATTCGCTGGTGGTGGCCGGAGGCGCTTTGAATGTCGCACAACAGTACTTCACCCTGTGGACGTCGCCAGTACTCGCATTCGCCATCTTTGGCCTCTTCGGAGTTACGTCGGAAGCTCGGGCATCGTACTGCCGCATCATCCGCACCGCCGGCGGCTGGTTTGGCTGGAAGCCCACACCTCGCGCACCACTCGGAGAGATCGTGTTCAGCGAACAGTCGCGAGACCTCGAATATGGGTACGTTTTTCACATTTGTCGAGGACTACAGCTCAATTGACGCGACTAGATCAAGGCCGGGTTTCATTGATGCTGATCCACGCGCGCTAGACCGGGTCGTGGATAGCCCAAGTAAAGCTGAGAGCGAGGGAATGGATATGATGGATTCGAAAAGCGATTCGGACTTGGATGTTATAGAAAGGCCGGCACATATTATTGGCCCTATGAGAGAACCGGGTATGCAAGGGGAGGTCGATAACAAGGAATATGGGGCCGACATTTAATTGCGGAATAGTGGTGTTCAGCGTATGGATCTAGGTTCCTGACACTTCGGGTTGTCGTTTCTCATCGTTTGCGTAGTCCGTGGAGGACCACCTCGTTATGATCTCTGCCCGGTAAGATAGGGATAAGTGCTGGTGCATGCTGAAAGGGGGGTAGGGCGCGTGTTAGCGGATGAGAGTTTTGGAACTCGAGGAACACGTACACACTACGCGTGAACCCGTCTAACATGTACACCTTCTCATCGCTACCACAACTAGTACCTCGAACGTGCTTGACAGACGTAGAGTGCTGTATCTCATGAGCGCGAGCGAGAATATAATGGCCGAGTAACGGACTGGACATGTAGATGGCCGGCCGTACGCGAGTTTGATGCAAATCGTGGTATAAAGGACGACTACTTCCAACAGATCATTTGCTTTATTGGGTACCACCCGAGCACGAGTGTCCACTCCATCACATCCTCATGACGCTCTGACAGGCTTCGACTTCGGAGAGAGGGAGAGCGATAGGAATCTATCGAGAACCGTGCATTTCCTTGAAATCTTGCGGCTTCTGACCTGAGCGTCAACAAAGGGCTGGGGACTCAAGAGAAGCATGCTCACTGATGAATACGTACGCCTGAGACGTAGTCCAGCTGCATATGGCCGACCCACGCAATCTTCACATAGCATAGACCATCCAACATGGTAACGCTGGCATTCGTCGCTTCCTCCCAATACCAATAACACTAATACTCCGAGGTAGGGCGTGGCGGCGTAAATGCGTACGGCATCAAGGGCAAGATTGCACGTCGTGAATACCCATTCTTGAGTTCATGTGCCACGGGCGACACACATGACGCAGAATGAAGAGGAGCGAACCCAGATCATGGTCAGAAGAAAGTCGAACGCGCTGCACCCCGCGCCCCTCACGCGGCGTCCGCCCTTACTTGAGCTTGAGCAACTTCTTCCTGCACCACCATAGCCGTGTCAATCAATTTTCTTCCAATCACCGTATCTCAATCTATACGTACAATAAATGCGTTCGCTTCACATCACGCACGATCGGTCTCCTTCCCCTATCATAGCCTCCAAACGCGTTCCATTGGGCCGTCGCAACACGGCTCGGTCTTGCTCGGCCTTCTTCTGTTGCTCTCCGACGACCACGACCTCTCTGTTGTTCCAAAACGTGCGCGAGCCATACATACGCTTTCAATCCTGTGCGATGGGCCTTCGACTACGTGCGCGCGCTTGGGGAGAAATAATCCGCGTCCCAACTTCAGTGCGCGCCAGCGCTGCATCCCGTGTGAAGACTGCACAAGTATCTCTCGTCCGACAAGGACTCCACGAAAATATGCCTCGACCGGCGAACACGGTACAGCCATTGCAAAACGTGTCGCTGCCCACTTTGGGCACTAAGCTCGCAAGTCCCAACGCCACTCGACCGAACAGTCCTTAGGCGCGCGTTGCTGCCACGTCGCGGTGCAGCTCTGGGTTCTCTAGAGGATCAGTACAATCATTCCCCCATTCTCGACAGCCGTAGCGATTGATTGCTACTGTATGAGAAGGGCCTAGACAGGGAACGCGGAAGTGAAGAGAGTTCATCCGCATGGTCGCCCATCTCCCCGCAGTCTCCCCCATCTTGAACAAAGGACCAACTTCTCGAAGATGAGCAGTAAGTTTGCCCGTTCGGCTCAATGTTCAATGCTGATGTGGTGCCTCGAGCAGTGGGCGTCCACGTCGCCCTGATTGTAACTCATACGCGTCATGACGATTCTCCCAGGTGTTTCACCGGTACATCACCTTCCGGAATGTGCTCCCTTTCGCCAACTACACCTCGTATCCAACAGTGAGGGGTATGTGTTCTTTCTCAACGGGTCGAAGCCGGTGCGCCAGCGCGACAGCACGGTGCATATAAGAAGGCTTATGCTAGTACATCATTCGTAGATGGCCGCTACAGTCGATCCCACCTACCCCCTCTATCCTATTGCTTGCATTCTTGCGTCGGCGATGCTATTTCTTGTATCCCTGACGGGCTTAATCCGGCAGAGCTGGAACCTTGGTCTTGCGTCATTGTGTTTCTGGCTCTTCTTCGAGAACCTCACCTTCGGTATCAATGCCATCATATGGGCAGACAACGCGGACTTGAAGCTGTATGTATATTGTGATATTGGTGAGTTCACAAAACCGTGAGGCGTGCTCCTTGCGCTGAAGTAGATGCCCTCAGTCTCACACCTGCAAGAAATTACGTTCTTTGTCCGACCTATGGCTACGCTTGTCATCACACGCCGGCTGTACGTAATTGCGAGCCAAAGATCAGTGGATATTGCGGATGGAGCAACGGTATAGTGAAGCGAGAGATGTTTTTACACCACTGTATGCTCATTATTTCACACTAGCGACGTCGAACCATTTTCATTGAGTGGATACTTGTCCTAGTACTACCTCTCATTCTGGCAGGACCAGTCTGTGAGTTTTCCTTCAGCGACGTGTAGTACTCTTCTAATCCCATTTCAAGATTACACCGTACAAGACATCCGATTCGAAATTGTGGACGGACTCGGGTGTTCGAGCGCCGAGGATGATTCGGTACTCGATTTCCTACTCCTTTGGACTTGGGGGGTGATTCCTCCGTTGATATCTGTCGTTGTGTACTATCGTAAGTCGATGACGCGCACAAAGCTATCCATCCTAACCATTGCGTTTGCAGCCCGGGTAGCCTTGCTCATGTATCGCCAGAGCCGGCTGATCAACCACTTCCTGAGGAGCAACGATCATGTGTCACGGGCGGACTACTTTCGCATGTTCGCCTTTGCCAGCTTCGATATCCTTCTCACTTTGCCCTTTGGTATCGCGAACATCGCATTATCCTTGGCCGAAAGCTCAGTCAGCGACTCATTAGTATTCTATCCGGGATGGACCAATGACCACGTAGACTGGGAGCCAGCAAGCTATTCCTACGCAGAAAGAGAGAGTGCGGGCTCTTCTGCAATGGCACAACAATATTTCGCTCAGTGGACCCCGCCCATCCTCGCTTTCGCTATATTCGGCATTTTCGGCGTTACATCGGAGGCTCGCGCATCTTACCGGCGCGCCATTCACACTGCTGGCCGATGGTTCGGCTGGAAGCCATCTGCGCGCACGGATGATGAACACTCGACACTGGGCGATATCGGATCTAGAGTGCCACCGCTGGACACTCTGGTTGGTTCTGAACTCAGGTGCATTCCCATTTATCATCGCAATCGGCTTTGACTGATGCCAGGCAGATCGCATACGGCTCACGATCCTTTCGAGGCCGAACATGCAACGGTGATCTCCAAAGAAGGGAAGCTGGCGGCGTGCAATGTGCAGGACGATATGAGTACAAGCTCAACGAAGATCCTTGAAGGCCCCGGAGTTGCAGCGTACGTCCAATCGAGCGCATCGTTCGATTTTGCTGATTCGGTTCTTAGGTGAAAGACAGTGCTAATGTTCCGAAGGAGACAGGTGGGGGCCGCTACTGGTGGCTGGGACGAATCTACTGGTCCTTGCGCGCCTCGTAGGGTACCATATAGCTTATAGCTGTCGCGTGATCTTTATTGTAGACGAAGCCCAAAAGAGTCTTGGGGTCTCATTGGTTATGTGGCCCGCTGATTGTCTGCCGGAGTGCCCTCCCGGATGGACTGTACACAGCTTCGGATGGTCGCATGGGAATCTTGAGTACCCACGCTGTCCCTCCAAGAGATACTGAAGCGGAAGTTGAATGGCTCGGGAGAGCATGAGGGTGGCTTGCTTCGATGCGTGTGATATCTGGTGGCATGTCGTTCTCGGTCGTGCGACGCTCAGTATCTGCTACAGAAGCGCGTGATGGTCGCGTCCTAACGACGGGTGTTTGGGCGCGCAATTGGCTGAAGAATAAGGCGGTCGTGTCTAGCTGAAGGCTTGAGCCCCCTTAACTTAGGCGCAAGTACTGTACCATTGTGCGAGCCAGCGTACGTCGAGTGGTGAACTCATCTGGCCCGAACTGTCGTTGAGCAAGGTATCACCCTCCATGATACGGGCCAGATACCCGGCTGTACAGTCCGAGCTTGTCGGAAAGATGCGATTGAAAGCACCCCATGCGGTATGCAAGAGATGTGATGTACATCGAGAAGCACTCTACGTTCCCTCTGTACAGGTAAGAGCACAGAAAGTAGTGATAACACATAGTCCTATACACTGTTAAGCATTCATGCCGCCTTTGCGTGCGAAAGATACGTGCCATCTTCGTAGGAGAGCAGGCGGCCGAGGTCTCCTTCGTTACGTCGACCTTCAGGTTCTCTCCCACCGGCTTCCATATCCTGGCCGGGTCTGGTTCATCACGATACTGGCAATAAGCTCGTCGTCCACCATGAGGGACTGTCTTCGGTGACGAGGCTCTGCTATTACGGTCGCGGCAAGCCAGAGTCAAAAGGGACCGATGTTCCAGTCATGCGCGTGGACGTCGGTCGTGGACGCTGGAGGTGAGGTGCATATGGGTGGGTATGGACGCAGAACAGTCGCGGGGCGCGCTGATCTTGGCTTCCCACCACCACCACCTTCATCCTACCAATGCCATCGTGCTTATTACCGGGGCTATGCGCTTAAGAAGACGTATTCCCTGCCCGTGACAACAGTATCGGCATGGTGACGCCGTATCGTTTGTATCGTAAATCTGCGCATCACCCTGTTGGCGCGAGACGCTGGTCATCTTCCTCTTCACCACGACTGTGAAGCAACCGGAGGATGATCATGGATGGGAAAAAATGTAGCATTGCCCTCAAGAGCATTCACTGTGGGTGGCTTCTCGTGTGCCCATAATGGCCTAACATCGATATCCTCCGGGAATATCTATAGTGGATGTCTTCGTGCTGTCGATGCCGTCATCGCGCGCATGGCGATATACCGCGTACAGTACCTTTATACGCGCCACTGACGAGCACAGGCCTGGCTTACGAGCTCGTAGCGTCGCCCGGGGGCCTCGGGCAACTGTCCCATCGTTATCTTCGAGACTTGAATCCGTACCGGCCGATCCAGACTGGCGCCTTTTCCTGACATGCTCGCACCCAGATGCGAGAGTATTGGATGGGAAAACGGGAGTAAGTAGGCGGTGTCGAAGCAACGTGAGTGCTTCTGGTCAGACTCTTTAGGGTTGCTATACTCACATGGTCTTCGTAGCTGCCCTTGACCGCGCCATCTAACCTGAACATCGGTGTTGGAGGATTGGTCGTTCGTCACGACAGCTGTGGTGAAACTCAGATAGTACTGTCTTGTAGCATGAGGCAACACTGCCGGCGATGCTCTTACATGTTCCATTGCGAGGCGCTAGTGAGCGCAGCGTGGTCTGCAGAACGGAGCATCCATCAACCTCCTGGACTTTCGCGGTATCGCGTGGGAGTCGGTGGACCAATGACTCCTCTGAATGTACGTTCTGCTCAGGTATTGCCGCTATCTGACGGGACTTATCCTGCTAGCTCGCACAGATGCGCGCGACCTATCTGCGTTCCTGAACACCGCGTTGAGTTCCCCGTGTATCTAAGGAACTTGCCGGTAGGAAGGGACAATGACGATCGAAATGAGAGATGCATCTTTCGCTCGATAGACCGATACGGGGGCTGTGCCACATAGCTGCATTGAGGAGCTACATATAAGGCAGTTTTCTGAACTTCAAATCCACAGGCCGCCCATTATCTTGCCATGGCAAAAGCTGTTGATCCAACATACCCTCTCTACCCCCTGGCCTCGATCCTCGCCGCGGCGATGATCGTGCTTGTTTTTCTGACCAGCCTCATCCGACAAAGCTGGAACCTTGGTGTCGCACTCTTGTGCTTCTGGCTTTTCTTCGAGAACCTCACGAATGGAATCAATACCATCATATGGGCTGACAATGCCGATGTCAAGTTTTATGTTTACTGCGATATTGGTCAGTGCACTCTGAACCTTACTAGAGGTTCTTGAGATGCGCCGCTCACTGACTCGCATGGTGCCAGTCACTCATTTACAGGTAGTAGTGACTGTCGTGAAGCCTATGGCCACATTGATCATCACTCGGCGGCTGTATTTGATTGCTAGTCAATCTCCACTTGGACTCGACGAGGACAGAGCGGTGAGGCGCAGTGTATGCCCTGTACGCACTACGCGCAGCTTATCGTCGCTCCTTCCAGAGATGCAAAAACGCTATCATAGAATGGATACTCGGACTGGCAGTTCCTGTTGTAGTTGCTGGACCAATCTGTGAGTTGTATCATCACCTTATTTTCAAGCCCGTATTGATACGCCAGAAGACTACATAGTCCAGCAGTATAGGTTCGCCGTACACGAGGGCTACGGATGCGAGAACTCTGTCGACGGCTCGATACTCAGCTTTTTGCTGATCTGGTCTTGGAATGTGATTCCTCCGCTAATTTCAATCATCATCTACTACCGTATGTGCAGATGTATTACGGATGAGCTGGTCATATAACTCCTGATCGTACTCCAGCCCGGGTGGCCAGCCTCTTCTTTCACAATGGTAGACGCATCAACCGTCTACTCTCAAGCAACAACTCGATCTCATACATCAATTATCTTCGCATCTTTGCCTTCGCCAGTCTCGACGTCCTTCTTACATTGCCAATTGGGATCGTGTCTGTGATTTTGACCGCCATAGCTGAATCGTCTCAAGACTGGGTGTTCTATCGCGGATGGGCCTTTGATCACAAGAACTGGGGGCCGGTGAGCGTCCCTTACGAGATACAAGTTGCAGCAGGATCTTCTGCCTTGGCGCAACGCTACTTTGCTCAGTGGACATCGCCCGTACTCGCTTTCGCCCTCTTCGGTCTCTTCGGTGTAACATCTGAAGCTCGCGCATCTTACTGGCGTGTGCTTTACCGCGCTGGCAGCTGGTTCGTCTGGAGGCCAGATCCCCCGAATGTATGCGGAGGGGATTCAAGACCACTGGGAGATGTCGATTCGAGAGTGCCACCGCTAGATACGCTAGTCGACTCGGCGGATCTGAGGTGCGTTACCACCCCTCATCGCATTCAGCTTCTATATCAAACCCAGCAGATCGGGCGCTTCCTATACCAACTCCCAAGCTAGGCAACCGGTGGCGGAATCGGAACAGGGTAGGGATCCTGCGACATGCACACTACAGAATAGCATCAGCGGAGATCCCACATACCACGATCATGGGCTTACAACGTACGTTCTCAACTGACCGTGTCATCTAACGTTGCCAACGGGATTCCACAGGTAGATATATGGTCCACTCAGATCCCGGTGAAAGATGGTCCCGAGCACGACGTACACGGATGCGGTCTGCTGACGGCCAACGATCGAGGGTGCAACTGCCGGTAGGATAATCCTGCCAGCTTTGCGGGAGACGAAGCCACCGCATCCATATTTATGCAGCTTGTAGCCTAGTGTGATAATATCGTTATACATCAGATGCCGTCCAGAGACAGAACAAGCCTGTAGTAGGTCAACGGGAGGTGGATGGTAAGGGGGCCCAAAGTCCATGCATGCGCCCTATTTCGAACGGGTTTGTGGCAGATGAGGCTAAGGTAGGTGATGGCCTCCATTCCTCAAGAGGAGGGCGAACACCGAGCGTCGATGGATTGAACATGGTAGCGAGAGGCAAGCCGCGCGCGGCGTGTTCACTTTCCTTGGTGTTGCTTCGTGACCACCATGACTCTTCGACGCGAAGTGTGCTGCACACTATCGCTAGACCGTTGAAGTAGTCGCGCAAGCGCCCAGCCTCTTTCCGTCGTCAACCTTAGCATCTGCCTTAGTTTGCTTCGTATCGACGTCGTCGCCGTTCACAGCGCGACGCCCGGCCCGCCGGCCCGTTCTCCACAACGGACGCACGGACCGAGTCTCGGCTCTCCGCACTTCGAGAGAGCTCTATCCCGTACCATCCGGGGTATATAGATCGCGAAGATGCTTCCTGGGATGGGGTAGACGTCCATCCCCACAATACCGACTATCGCCATGGCCAGCCCAACGTTCAAGCTCAACACCGGCGCTACCATTCCCGCGATTGGCTACGGTACGCTCAGACACCTTTGGGATGAGAACTGGCATATTAATCCAGTTATTCCTGCTCAGGAACATGGCAGATTCCGATTGACCAGGTCGACAAGATTGTCGCATACGCGATCCTTGAGGCTGGATACCGCCATATCGACTGTGCATGGATGTACGGGAACGAGGAGGGCGTTGGTAAGGGCATCAAGGCCGCGCTAGACTCCGGCAAGGTCAAGCGCGAGGAGCTCTTCGTATGTCATGTCTACCCTGTGATGTCGAAGATAAATGCTGAAAGTACTCTCGGCATAGATCACCAGTAAAGTTTGGGGCAGCTGGCACAGCCGCGTCGAGGAGGCACTCGACGACTCGTTGAAGAAGCTCGGCTTGGAATATGTTGACTGTGCGTGTCAAAATTTCCCTAGAATGAATCTTTCATACTGAACTCGACCGCAATGTGCAGTGTACCTGATGCATTGGCCGATCCCGCTGAACCCGAAGGGAACACCGCAGCCGATCCCGTTGCGCCCTGACGGCTCTCGCGATATCGACGAGTCCTGGGACATCAAGGACACCTGGAAGCAGCTTGAGGCCGTCGTCGAGAAGGGTATGTCGATACACGTCTGCATGCATTAGACTAGGCGCTGAGCTACGCGGATAGGCAAGACGAAGGCCATCGGTGTATCGAACATGTCGCAGAAGAAGCTCGAGTCGTTCCTCCCCTCCGTCAAGATTGTACCCGCCACGAACCAGCTCGAGATTCACGCTTACAACCCTGATCATGCCCTCGTGTCATACTGCCTTTCCAAGGGCATTCTACCGCAGGCGTACTCTCCACTCGGCTCTTCGGGTAGTCCTGTCATGAAGGACGAGACGGTCGTAAAGATCGGCGAGAAGTATGGTGCCACCGGCGCTGATGTTCTCCTTGCATGGCTAGTCGCAAAGGGAATCTGCGCCATCACGCGCTCGAGCAGCGAAGCGAGGGTGAAGGCAAACATCGAGGGCCCGACCCAACTCGCGCCGAAGTTGAGCAAGGAAGACATCGCGACCCTGGACGGGCTCGCTGCCGCCGGCAAGCAGAAGCGTCTCGTCACGCCGCCATGGGGTGGGCGCCTTTGCTCGTTCTGCCTTCTACCCGAGCTAATGCATGTCTACTCTAGGTGTCGACCTCGGCTTTGAGAACTGGCCGCAACCGGCGAAGAAGTAAAGACTCGGGATTGCCGCTATCTTGTGGGGAAAGAAGAACTTCGGGCGCACGTCGCCGACGTCCTTGTAGCATACGTTGTTTTGATATACCACAACTGTACAGATCGCTGCCTGTCATACGTGTTCAATCACTAGTGTCTGTTCATTCATGCACGAGTCCGGCGACGTGCCTGGCGGACGCGGCGCCGTCTGGAACGCCTGCCGTGCGTCCGATGAGGCTCTGTTCACGACCACGACCATCTCTCCGTCGATGATCTGCAATATCACCGTGTCATTGTAGTGTGCTATCGAACATCTCTGCGCTCTCACCCGGGCATCTCAACACTGCGCGCTCGGCCTGGACATCGCCGAGCGCCGCCGGTACCGGGCCTATGTAAGCTGGGGCTCGGGGCTCGGGTATATTCCCTTTTGACCGACTTGACTTGATCGACTGTTTCGCACCTGTACTTCGCACTTTCACGATCGGTCACTTATGGGCCAGACTGAGGATTCGACACTGTGCGCTATGAGAGCTGTGAGGCCGCAGTTTGGACCTGTATCGAGGAAGAGCTTCCTGTATAACGCTAACGTCGCCAAGATGGTGCGTATAGATACCCTATATCGGGCTATAGATACTGAAGGGACCATAGGATATGTCTTCGTTCATGACCAGTCCCATGTCGCCTACTCTCCCCTTCAAACTCCCCCGTTCTGCGCTCCTGCCTGGCCATTCAGACGATAAAACGTCCCCTACCTTGCGCGACGATACTCCTGGGCCGGTAGCGCGTTTGCTCCCCGAACTCCTGTCAATCATATTCTCATTCTGGCGCGAACTGGAGCCCACAATGTTCTACGACCGCGATCGATCCGTGTACTTCCTGCAGCCCGAGCGTCGACTCGGATGGATCAAGTGCACGCACATATGCCGCGCATGGCGCCAAGTCGCATTGGACAGCGCGCACCTGTGGAACACGATTGTATTCGAGGACAGATTCCATGAATGGGGAGCCGAGATGCTCAAGCGCTCGAGGCGCTCTCAACTGTCCGTGCACCGCATGCGACCCGGTTTGCGCCTTACGCGCCACGCGACAATGCCGCCGGTGGAGATCGTAGACGCCGTTTCAGCACACGCCGCACGTCTGCGCACGCTCACGATCGAGCAACCTTCGAACGACTGGGAGATCCTCGAAGTCGTACTTGGCCGCGCTGCACCACACCTGGAGGAGTTCGATCTCGCTTCACCTTCATTCGAGCCGCATTTCATTCTCCCGCCTAAGTTATTCGACGGCCACGCGCCTCGACTAAGAAAAGTCAAACTCGCGGACTGCTACTTCCTGTGGCCGGCGCTTGCGTTTGAAACGGTCACGCACTTGGATATAAGCCGCGCGCCGAGACCGACACATGCAAGTATCGATCAAGTGCAAAAGAGCATCGCGCTCGACTTCCCTGGATCAAGCCCGAATGAGTTCGTGAACCCTACGTGCGACTTCATCCTGGATGCCTTGCGATGTATGCCTCACCTAGAGTCGCTCATCCTCACCTACGCCATTCCCCACGTTCCCACGTCCACGCCAACCGCGTCAATCTCTGTAGAGCCCGTCAAGCTCGAAAAGCTCGCGCAGCTACATATGATGGAACACACCCTCTCCCAATGCGCGTGGATTCTCGACCATCTACATGCACCGCATCTCGCCGAGCTCCGTCTCAAAGCGGGAGGACCAGAGGACGACGGTCTGTCCGACTACGCGGCGCTACTACCGTTTATCTCTGCTACCCTGGGTTCTCGAGCGCTCGACATGCTACACATATCGACCTCTCCTTGGACACTGAAGCTTCAGTCATGGGAGCACCGGCCCACCGCGAGTGGCTCATGCGCCGATCTCGCTTTTGCACCCACACCGGCGTCAGGTCCAGCGTCGAGCGCGTTCGGGCGTACCTGTGTGCCATTGCTCAATCTCGAGCTCGCGTGCGCGCAACGCATCGAGGCAGAGACCATGCAGCGGGCGCTACGCGTGCTGTGTGGCGCACTCCCACTGTCTGACGTGCATGCGCTTTGCATATCCGACGCGAATGATGCAGGTCCTCACTCTGTGAGTCCATGGACGGTCGAAGCATGGAGAAGCACATTCGGCGCTGCTTGCGCGGTGAAGTTTGCGTATGCGCAAGGCAATGGCGGCGTGGCGCTCGTCGACGCGTTGGCGGAGGAGGCAAAGCTGTTCCCGGCAATGTCGAGTTTGGAGCTCGAACAGGTCGATCTGATGAGGGTACACGGTACCGCGGACGAGGGGCTACTGGGAGTCGCACGCGCGAGGTCAGAGGTCCTTAAAACCGTGAAGTTGAGGAGATGTGTGGTGTCTAGACCGGTTGTAGATGGGTTGGAAGTGTTGGGAGTGAAGTTGTCGTTGGGTTAGATCTCATGCCATCTTGGGTCTCATGTCGGAACACTTGTATCTGCCCTCTTCGTTCACGCTTTGCTGTCGCTGTATCACTATGCTCTCTCTCATAACGACGACATAGACTACGTATGTATATAGTCTCATGATGTACCAACCATACCGTCATCTACCTCGACTTCACGCTCGATTGGTTTACAGTCCATACCCACGGGACTAGACACTTTTTTTCCGAGCCTCCCTGATTATTTTTTATCCCAGCTACCACCGACCCTTTTGGCACAATGCATTGAAGGTATCTCGCGTACTTCTTGAAGAAAAAGTCTGAGGGGGATGAGCGGACGGGTTAAGGTAGTACGGTACCATCAGCGAGAGGGTCTGTTATCGAGAATTCCCACCAGATTGAACAGCGCGATAAGATCTTCGCTGTTGCGACTTCGTAGGGTTACCGCGCTTTCCTCCCTCCCATTCTGCTCTAGCAGAAAGTGGCGTGAGACTAATGCCTATCCGAGCAACAGTGGGTACCGAGATTCCAAGGTGAAAGCTGGTAGAGGGACTGCCCGAAGAGCCCATCAAACACTTCCCACGGCTCTCCATGCCGGGCATTCTCCGCCCGACCATCTCGCCCGACCCCGTCGCCCCTCCTCGATCGTAGACTACTACGATCTGGACGTAGATGCAAGCAAACGGCCTGCCCGTAGACCCGACAACTTGAATGGCAATGAACCGGGGCGATTAAAATATCCTACTGCCCCATCAACTCACGGCATGTTCAAAATCGACCCGAAATGGCCATCCAGTAGGCTCTATCTTCCCAACCGCAGGAGGCAGGGTCGACAGCTTCGTCACAGAGATAGAGGCAGTGACTATACTATTTGTCGTGATTTTTCCAAGAGGAAAACAGGCCCGCGTCAGTATCAAAGGCCCTCCGTATAATCTGGTCCCCATGTATAACGGGATGGTGATGGACTGTAGAACGTAAGCTTCCCCGTCCAAAGACATACAGAAGTCATACAGACAAAAAGATCCAGCGTTTCCGCTTTACTCTTTATTGCTTTACTGTATCGCATGGCATGTGCTATACGCGTCTATATCCATGAAACGCACTTCTCGTCGGCACAGGTCTTCAGGTAACTAGAAAATACCAGTTGACTGAAATGGGTCGGCTAGTGCAGCATGGTACAATCGGGACTAACACAATATACAAGCATCTATAGATACATTCCGCAATTCTTGTCTACTAAGGTATCAAACGCAGTAAGATAATCAAAGATCCATACTCTACGTCCTCAGCTGACGGACGAAACACAACCGAGTTCACCAGTCGAGTACGGGCGGGAAGAACTTTGCGATGAGCCCTTCGTAGTAAGGACGCAAGCGCGCCGGGACGACAGGCTCGTCGCTCTTGCTGTATAAGTCGTACGGGTTGAACGCACGCACAGCGGCGAGCGCCTTCGCATCGCGCTCATTTGTGAGGTGGGCGTAGGCGCCTTCGCGGTGCCACGGGTAGAACGAGTGGTAGCGGATCATGGCGAGAGCCTCCTCAGGTAGCGAAGACTGGTCTTTGAGGACATGATACAAGTACTACAAGCATCATGTAAGTGAACGATGGCGGCGATTCGGTGTAGGACGGGACAAACCTCGTCATGGCCCCAGGACAGCATAACGTTCTCGAGACCGCAGTGGGGTTGGTAGATGCCGTACTCGGATGAGTAGAGTCCATCCTTGAAATCAGGATTGCCCGCAAACGTCTCGGGGAGAATGATCTTGTCAGAGAACTTGCATCCGACGACGAACGTGTCCTGCATGCGAATATAAGCAACATAGAAGAGAAGGAGTACACAGAGTACGTACGCCGACGACATCCCACTGACCCTCGGAACCGAACATGAAAAGAAGCTTGCCCAAGTCGTGAACGAGACCGGTTACTTGCATCCATTCCGGCTTGCCGTCTCTCCGAATGGCCTCGGCCGTTTGTAACAAGTGCTCGATCTGGCTGAGGTCGGTCTGCAAGCAAGTCAGCCGGAACCGGGCGGTACGCGGTGTTACACAAAACGTACGTCCGGGTCACTCTCGTCAACGAGGGTATTGAGCATCTCCATAGCCTCCCAGATGCCCATGCGAGCGCGCTTGCGGCTCTTGAACTCTACACGGGCGCGAATGTTGAAGTCGACTGTTTGCTTCTCTACAACGTTCAAACTCAGTACCCGCGGCTCAACTACAAAGGAATGCACGAGGGTATACCGTGCTGCTCCTTGTAAAAGCCTTTCACGCGTTCACAGGCATCCTCGTATTGTCGAAAAGTGGTCTTATTCTTCTCGGCATCGAACTGGGATGCTGCGTCCCATTCGGGAGTACCAACGGCAGGCACAGCGGCCGTAGAAGCGGTGGCCTTCAGCTTGCCCTTCATGACATTCACTACAAAGGTAGTGTTAGTAAGTATGCATTGTTCGGACCAGTGCCACCCACCATCGTCAACGGCGTCGGAGACCTCATCGAAAGCGCGCGCGTCGCGAGGCGGGTGCAGTATAGCGGGCATAAGGAATTAGCGTCAAGCGTTTCAAGTGAACAGATAGATCCAGGTAGCGCAGTTGCGGTGGGGAGTGCGGGCGCCCTGATTGCCACTCGGTCTTATATACCTCTTGTCAGACCAGTTTGAGCCATGTACCCCGCGATCAGCGGGTCGCCACCGCCATGTCATTTGCGGCGAGAAGTTCACGCGAGGCTCCTGTTGCATGTTGGAAATCGTAAACCGGGCGTGGCCATGGTGGCTGAGTACAAGCTTCTACCCCCGCTCCACAGCGCGGCGACGCAAGACTTGGTTTCGAACCACCACCAAACATCATACTCTTTCTGGCTGGAAAGCTCTCGCCCACCCTCTTCAGCGCTCCGGATGTACCGGAACGGTATCCCGGGGTCTTATGCCTCAGCGGCTGTCGAGAGCAACGGCTCATGTGTCCTCGGCTGTCGCGTCGAGCACCAGCTGACGATCGTGAACACCTCCATCTACCCGGCGCTGAATGTTTCAGCCGGCGCGATTAGATGCTCAAAGATACGGTGTTGCGCTAAGATACGATATTCATGCCCAAGAGAAGAGATATGATACGGCTTGGCTGACCGACCTGCGCCAAACAGTACCAGCGTGTGCAACTTGCCCGCGCTGTCTACACGAGGCCGCGCTTGAGCTGACAGTGCCTGCGGCTACATCTGACAGTGCCTGTGAGCATGTTAGCCCGATATGAACTGAATATGACGCAGCATTGCCAATCGGGGAATACGAGCGTGCTTCTGCATGAACCCTACTACTGTGCTGAGAGAGAGTATGCTTCGTGCCACAGGTACTTGAGCGGATCGCCACCATCGCGCCGCCGCCGCCGATATCTCCATGATTGGAGCATGCATCTTCGCATCCCTCAAGCTCTCACATCTGGTTGAGACCATGCATGAAAAGTACACGATCGGAAGAAGTGCTGTCGTTCGCATTGAACGTTCATACTGCGAGCCGCACGTGTTGTAGCATGGCCACTATTTACAGATCCAGAATTACTCTGGAGATGATCGCTGCAATGCTTAGCTGAGGGCCATACGTCTGGGCCAGAGAGTTGAAGATCGCAACATACTCCTCGTATAGGTATTAGGCGCCTCATGAGCTCATGGGCGTATACTGACTTAGCTAGATCGGATCTCATCGCAGTGCAGAGTCTATCACTGAATGTGCACTGCACAGCGTCATTAATGATGCCCGACGTGCTATTCGACTTACCGCCGGGAGGCGTCGTGGGTACAAGTACGAGGCAAACACCCTCTCAAGCCTGGGCGGAACGTGAACACCGCCGACTGCATGCGCAAAGTACAGTGATCCAGATGGCAGCGGAACACGGAACGCAGGGTGGTTTGTGTATACTATATAGGTATAGGTGCGTCATGACCGTCGCAGCTGCAACAACTGTCAGGATGAACAGAATGATGCGAGTTCAATCAGACTCTCATGGTCACGTCGGTAAAGGTAGTAGCAAACTCAGATGGGAACTCCAAGTTTAGGCAAGAAGCAGGGGTACATAGCATATTGATAGTATGCAAAATAGCGATGGTAGTACATTCCTAGCTGCTCAACACAATAACAATAACGCTCCGAGACCAGAGCCGTTGCGAAATCTGTACACTAAGTAGCGCCGGGAATGGGAGATGGAACCCAGCGAGTGAGGATAGCAAAGAATAGTGGAGAGTGAGAAAACAATGTGATGATGCTTTATATGGTGATATGGGTAGATGGGTATCGTTTGAAAGTGGAAAGCAGTGTATGATGAAGAAGCCGAGAGAGAGAGAGAACTAGACGCGAGTAACGAGGAGTAGCACACCTTTGTTCGGCACGATACGGGCGGTGGAAGTGGCCTGCAGGGTTGCGCCGAGTACAACAGCTCTGGTAGCATACAACAGCCTAGTCCAGGGGCAACGGTACACGTACTAGTGGCGTACGCAGTCGGTAGCTCCCGAGCTCGGTGCCGCTGACCTTCCAGAAGCACATTCCGCAGGTCCCGCCCCCACGCAGAAGACCCCGAAGCCTCGGCAAACCCCGTCAGCCATCGTCTTCTTGATGCTCGACAAGGAACGCCGTGCCCTCATCCGGATAGGACCTGCCAGACGCGTGAGATGGCCGCCACTCGAACCGGACCTAGCGTCGAACGTCGGGGAAGATGTGGCGCGTGCGGCGGCGCCTTAGATCAGCCACGGGCGTTTAGCGGTGCCTGCGCGGGGAGGGCTTGAATTGACGTCCGCGCTCGCTGTCGAGGCCGACGAATTCGGCGGACGCGCGCACGCGGGGCGCTCGGCCGCGGCCGCAGAGCCCGGGGTGTGCGTGCCCGTCGAGCCCGGCGGTGCAGTCGACGGCGGTGGCGGCGGCGGCGTGCTGATCGGTGTACGCGACGGGCGGGGCGAGCGAACGTCACGATCCATGTCCCTTTCGTCCTGCCTTTGTACGACGGGGACAGGCGCAGTACTGGCAGAAGTTATCACAGTAGTCGTGGTCCCGTTCGTCTGCTCCCGAGTACTGGCCAAAAGCATCCGGGCCCGCTCTTCAACATTGTGCGAGACGATCTCGGGCGATGCGGCGGTCGCGAGTACGGGCGTAGGCGAGCTCGTCTTCATCTCTACATCCCTGTTTGTCTCGTCGCGCATACTAGCGAGCAACGCACGCCCGCGCTCATCAATGCTCGTATCGCCTCTCCCAGATTGCCCATTCACTTCCCCATTCCTGTCTTCCTTCCCATCCCTGGCACCTTCATCACGGTCCTCAGGCGCAGCAGTATCCCGGTCCCTGGAGATTGTGTCTCTATCCCTTGACCCTGTCTCCCTCGTACTGGCCCTGCGCCTCTCGTAAATAGCGCGAGGAGGGTGATCAGGCCATTCCAGAGGTGGAGGTGGCGGGATCACAGGCGACTCTGCCCGCTTCGGTACACGCGAGGGCATGTCTTCGACAGAGTGCAGACGCCCGTCGGAGTACTGGGATTGAGATGGCCCATACGGGTGATGCTGATATGCGCGCGTATCGGCCAAGGGTGGCGGTTGAAGTGGCGGTGGTGGGTACGGTCTTGACGCAGGCCTGTGTGCATCATGCGCGGGTAAGGCATACGGATCGCGTCGAGCGTCAACGAGTGGGTTGTACCGCCCATGAGCCAGTGGGTGCGGGTGTGGGTGTGGCGGAGGATACTGTCCAGGACGATGATACGCTTCGGGAGGCGGATACGCGTATCCTGGTGGTGGCGGGTACACCGCAGCATACGTCTCGCGTTCGTAGTTCGCTCCTGAACCAGCACGAGGGGGAGGCTCGGAGTCGTAGTACCGCTCTGCGGGCTCGCGGTGACGTTCTGGTGCAGGGTGTCCGCGATCGTAGTACCCTTGTGGTGGACCAGTTGCGTATGGATACTCATGCGATGAATGAGATTGCGACGAGCTTGAGCGTGCCTGCGAAGAAGTGGATGCTGATGGGCCTGTCGCGGGCGCTGATGCGGAGGCCGATGCCTCCGAACGTGCGTACGACGACGACCCATGTGGAGTGGCCGACCGCCGCGGACCATGGTAATGAGGTAGATTTGGGGGAGGAGGAGGGGGTATAGGTCGAGGGCCAGTGTCGCCAGATACGTCGAGCGGGATGGGCGCTTGAACGTGCGTACTGTAGTGTATTCGCTCTGGCGGCGGCGGCGGCGGAATCGCTAGCGGTACATTGTCAGGCGGCGGTGGAGGTGGTACCTCAATTGGTGGTGGAGGATAGTATCGGGGATGTTGGGCGTAGGGCGTAGACACAGAAGCTCGCCTCGAGGCATGATGGTCCGGAACGGCTGGCAGTGGTAGAGAATGTGGCACAGGCGAAGAGTAGGCGGTACCATGCGGAGAGCTGCCAGCGTACGTGCTACTACGAGCTCGCGCACCATTGTGCGGGTTGTCCTGCCTTCCTCCATAGTTGTAAGATGGCCGGTCGTCGTGATACGCAGCGTGCGACGAGGAGGCATAGCCTCGTTGCTGCTGTCGTTGCGCGTAGGCTTGCTCCTCGGCCAGCGCAGCCGCCCGCGGAGATAACAATCCTATACAGAAAAATAGTCAGCAACAAAGGACCCTGCATCATACAGATACGATCGGTGCAATATTCATGAGAAGTAAGCGGGCTGAGACTCCGCTCGTATACAAACACGTATAGCGCCACTGCAACCATGTTACGCCGCAAGCGAGTGTTGGTGCGATCACCGCGTCTTGCATCACCGCCCTCCGGCGGTGGAAGCTTCGCGCGGGTATGCCGCCCGTCCCAGTGCAGAACGGGATAAACGACCCATGGGCGGCCGCGCGAGAACCGGTAAGACCAGGAAGAAATAGGCGATTCAACACCGCACGGGGAAAGAGAAGATTATTGCGAGGGAAGAGACACTCACGCCCAGCTTCGTTCAGTTGCAGAACGACGACGCTACCTGGGTCCGTTTCGTAGGGCTCAGACATCGCCGCAAACGGTTTGGCGGAAAACCAATCCTTCGCCATGGAGCAAGGTCGTTTTAGCTTGTGACAGTTCCAGCAGGCGCCGCTCGCGCGTTTCCTCTTGCGGCCCTTCCAGCACTCTATTCCTCGCTCCCGACATCGATCGCACCTGCTCTGCTCCTGTATACAAAATGGTCAAACCCATGTTCTCCCAGAAACAGAAACAGGAATGATGGGGAAAGATAATGAAAGTGGCGCGAGAGAAAAAGTCGAACGACGACAGTGTAAAAAGGCCCACGACGTCCAGCGCTCTTGACGACGACGAGCGTATCAAAGAGCGCTTTTCGCGTGTGTCGGAAATGAACCGATGGGCCCGCCCAGCGCGGAGGACGCGCCCGCCGCGAACGAGCGCCCTCCCAGGCTCATTTCCCGCCCAGGCACCGTTCCCACGGCAAGGGGTTTGTGGCTCTCGTCCACCTCCCGCCCGACGCCATCCAAAGCCGGAACCAAAATGCAGATGCGCAATGCCCCAACACACACCAACATCGCTCGAAACGAGACACTGCGAAGATGTAGACTCACGTCGGTGCACAGCTCGTAGCCTTTTGGTGGGCCGGGCTCGTCGGGGTTGTAGCGAGCGTACTTGGCTTGAGTGCGCGCGCCCGTCGCGCCCGCGCCTGCGCCCGCCGGCTGACCCGAGCTCGACTCTGCATGTTGACCACCAGTCCACATCTCAAACTTGATCTTGTCGCGTCCCCCAGCGCTATATTCGGGCCGCGGGTCAAGTTGCGCAGCACTTGCTGTTCGTTTCCGTCCGTGTGATGGTGGCGGCGGCGGAGGTTGTGGTGAAAGCGAGCGAGCGTAGTGGTGAGCGTACACAGGCTGATACTGGTGTGAAGGGCCTGCGACTGGCATTGAGGGTGGCGCACGGTATGTCGGTGCCGGTGCGGGAGGCGGCGGGGCGCTGGCGGAGGGGATAGCGCGCCACCATTGATTCGGGCCGAGGTCTCCTGCGAATGGCATGCTCGGTACGGAGTGCACGTCGACCAATGCGCGCGCGAACAGTTCTGGCACCAGTCCATACGCGCCGCTCGGCTTGCAGCTCGCGATGAGCTCTGTTAGCTGCGCGATGAACGGCATTCGCGGTAGGCCGTGTGTCTTGCGTACACTGCGCGCGTTGTACTGTATACATAGTTTAAGTGACGCGATAAGAAGTATGAGATGACAGTGAAGTGTACCAGTTCCTGAGTGAACTCGTCGGTGTATCGCCCGCGCGAGCCTTCGGGTGCGGCTTGAAGCGCGCCCAACGCGGCATGCACGCGCGCCGCCGCACGCGCATACTCGTCCATGTACCTCTACAGCCCCAAACTCCGTCCTTAGCACGCTTTAGACTCAAGACCACAGAACCAAAGCAAGCCGCGAGGAGCCACAGGGAGCCCAGTACCTTGGTAACGGAATCCGAAGAAACTGCCGAAGACAAGGAAGAGGGCAAAGGTCGAGGTACGTGAACGAGAAAGAAAGAAGCGCAGAGGGACCACGGTCTGCTACGGCTGTTCGAAGTAGACGTGTGGGAAGTCCGTTCTCTCGACCGCGGCGGCCCCTGTGCCAATCCTCCCCGGTTCAGCTTTCCCTCCTCGCACTTGATCCCCTCCGAATTCTTGCGGTTCGTTCCCATCAAGTGCTACACGTAAACGCGCGCCCACGCGCCAGCCGGGCCAATTTGATCGCCTCTCTGTATTGAATCGTATCTCAGTATCTCGCGCCTCGGAAGGGACTAGCCTATGCGGGCCTCGGGCGATCGACGCGCCTATGCAGAATGCGGTGATGGGAGTGTTTTGTTGTGTGTGTATGGCACAGCAAGGAACGTACTATCATAAGCATCATAACGACAAAACATGTGTGGGGACTCTGTACAGATCGAGAACGAAATGGGAGTGTGGAATGGAGCTAGCGCGTAGGGTGGCAGTTGACGAAAGCGGGAAGGGGGGAGGCAGGAACGAAAAGGAGCGTTGTCAAAACCCATGACTCGGGGCCATCGAAATGTCAAATGTCAATGTAATCATTTGTGGAATATTCCGGATCGAAGCCCATCACGCATCAAGAACAAGAATCCGACTAGCAACATCAAGAAGGGGACGCGGCAAATGAGCCCAGCCGAACGCCCGGAAAGGCAAATGCCCATCTTATGCGGCTGCTGGTACGGCTACTGCCGCCTGAGGTACGGCTGTCGGCTCAGGCGACGCGGCCCCGCCGTCTTCGCTGATGTCCATACTGGACTCGCCAGTACTATCGTAGTCCTCATCTTCACCGGCCTGAACACCCACCTCTACGTTCATCTTCTCCACCTCTCCCTCGACCTCAGCCTCGGACTCGCTCTTCTCTACACCTGCAGAGCGACTCTCACGACCGCCGTCGACCGAGGCCTTCCATGCCCGGAGCTCTTCATTCCCCGCCCTCTGCGCCTGCGCAAGCTTCTCCACCGCCTCCGTCAGAACCCTCAACTGATTGTCCTGCGCAACCAGCAGCTCAACAAGCGGCGCAAGCACAGGTTGCGCGAGTGCCAATGGCCTCAGGTACGGATCCAGCGTCGGGTTTGAGCTCATATTCGAATTCGAGGGCGGAGGAGGATGTGGCGCAGACACGGGCGCGTCGGGCGTGATAGGCTCAGGCTCAGGCGGTTCCGTCGACATCCTCGTGCGCTGCGCAGGAATCTGCGCCTGAGCAGGCGTAGGCGGCAACTGATGCTGTGTCATCTGCGGTTGAACGAGCGACGGCGCCAGCTGCGCATGCGCATACATCCCGTATCCCGGCGGTGGCGGCGGATAATGCCCATGACCATGGGGCGGCCCATGCGCAGGCGAGCGGTACTCGTACCCTAACCTCCCTTGTTCCATAGCCTGCTTCAGCGGCAGAAGCGCAGGGTCGGTCTGGATCTGTTCCCATGAATAGCCGAGCGGGACGGGCGTGCGTTGATGAGGCGACGGTCGGTGTTGATGCGTGGGCGTCAGCTGGCTATGTGAGGAATGTGCGGGTGTCGGCTGATTGTGCGCGCTGTGGGAAGGTGTCGGCTGGCGGTGACTGTGGGCGGGTGTAGGTTGTCGCGCATGTGTGCTATGAGCGGGGGTTGGCTGCCGATGGGCGGGCGGCGCATGTACTGCCGGAGCAGATGCCATCCTCGCCTCGCCTCCCTGTACTGTTGTCGAACCATCTTGCCTGACCCCAACGGACCCCGCCTTCCCATGCCCAGCATCATTCACAACAACAGCCATATCCCTCGAAGTCGTCGGGCTAGCCTGGACAACAACCGTACTAGCGCTAGCCGGTCCCGCAGTAGCACCAACAGTCCCATACGGCGGCTGCGCAGTCATCCCCGTACTCGTACTTTCGAGCGTACTCCTTGTGCTCGCCGTCCCAAGCGTACTAGTCGTCTTAGCGCTCCCCACGCTATCCGCTTCTTCACCCTCAGCCGAAGCCGTACCTGATGGACCGACGAAGAGTGATGGGTTGTGTACGCCAATACGGCGTTGATCGGATGACTGAGCTTGTCGACGGCGTTGAGAGGGCGAGATCGGGCGTTGGTGGTGCAATTGAGGTTGAGGAGGCGCGTAGTGCGACGACGACGAAGGGCGTGGTGGTGCATGAGACGAAGACGACGACTGACGCACGGGCCGAGCTTGTAAACCCGCCCGCGCAAGCTCCTCAATGTTTGAGTTCGTATACGGCGACTTGGCCTTCGCCTTCTCCCTCGCACCCGACGAACCAGGCTGAGCAGTCTGCGGCCTCTCCCTCTCGTGCCTCTCCTCGCCCGCATGCCCACTCTCACCCCTCGACACCGAGAAGCTCGCCGGCCTCGGCCTCGTCGTCTGCGCCCTGGCATACACCGGCGCCTCCGGCAGCGAAATAGTCCGGTGATGCGAGAACCGCCTTCCGTCTCCGTCGCCTTCTTTCGCCGAGGTGGGCGTCCGCGACGGGCCCGGTACAGGCTGGGTGGGAGTGGCGGTAGTGGGCGAGGTGATGCGCGCAGGAGGGCTCCAGGGCGGGGCTGGGTCGTCGTTCATGACTTCAATATCGGGTGAGCGCGACATGCTCCGCGGACTTTGCACGATCTGCCTCGGTCCTCCTGGCCCTGTACCATCTACGTCCATCTTCTCCGTTCCGTCCGCTCCTGCGCCGCTCTTCACGCCCTGAGAAGGTGCTCGGGGCGGCGGAGGGCCATCCAGGATCTCAATCTCCGGCGACATCGGTCTTTCCTGTTGCTGAGATCGCGGTGGTGGCGGCGGTTGAGGAGGTGATGCCAAGGGCGCAGGTGCAGGTGCAGATGTGGGAGCTGGGAACAGGAATACTTCGGACGTCGCCGCTGCGCCTGTTCGTGCGTGGACGGATTGCCAGGGGTCAGAAGCTGTAGATGATGCGTGTGAGCAATGTGTGCGAGTGTGAGCTGACGATATACTGTACGTACGTGGGCTCGCTTCGGGCGCTGGGATCATGCCCACTCTCGGAGGCGGCAATGGTACAGGAGGTGCAGGCGCCGGTATGGGATGTTCCATAGGCCGAGCACCGGCTTCAAGCGCTACAGTACCAACCTATCAGCATACATTCGCACAATAGATGAGGCCATGTAGGACGTACCCAGTGAGCAATCCCTCCTCGCCTGTCGACACATGCTGCACGACTTGGGATGCGAACCCGGCTTGACGGTCGTCCCGCGTCGACACACAAGGTCCTTGTACGCGCATCGTTTGCACGGTGGCTGCAAAGAACATATGTCAGCCCTATATTCACATCACCGTACACATCCGACCAAGAGAAAGAATGGTGATACAAAATATGAACATAAAAAGGGGGAAGGAGAAGAAGAAAGAAAAACGGCAAGGCCATTCTCACATCGCAAACGCCGTTAATCGCATTCTGAAGTCGCATCTGGTATATTTTCTGCAACCGATACTGATAACTCACGTCGTTCGCGTCCGCCTCTCGCACCCTCACCTCCCGCTCCACCATCCCGCCCCCCGCGGGCGGCTCCCACCGCGCAAACTTCGTCGGCGGCGGGTCACTCGCTCCTCCTACACCTCTGTCCCGAGGGGTGCTGACGCCGGCTGTAAACGGCGACTCGACGTAGCGGCTCGTATCGTACCACTCGCTACCGAGTGTCGCGGACTTGCGTTTGGACGGTATGCTTGACGACGAGGACGAGTGCGGGTACGAGTGGTGTCCATGATGCGACGACGAATGGTGTAGATGCCCATGATGGCTCCCGCTCCCCGACGCGCTCGACGAGCCCGCATAATGCCCATGCCCATGCGCGATCCCACCCATATACCGCACCTCCCTCTCCCTCTCCCTTTCCCTCTCTCTCAACCTCTTCTCCCTCTCCCTCTCCCTATCTCTCTCAGCCCCAGGCCGCTGACTCGGCGGTCCGTTGGGTGTACCGGGTATGCCCGACCCTCCCGCTCTAAGGTTCGCAAGCCATTCATCGTACGCGGCGTTAGCCCTTTCGCGTTCTCTGAAGGCTCCGGCGAGGTACGATGCGGTTTCGGGTGGGAGATGAGAGTAGGTGCTTGCTCGTGTTAGGTCGGCAGATGGAGGTGGGTACGGTCGAGATGTCTCTGTCGGTGGTGGATATGGTCGTGAACTATCGGGTACTGGTGGTGCAGGGGGCGGCGGAGGCGGGTATGCGCGTGAAGGATCAGTTGAAGGAGGCGGATAAACTCGTGCTGCATCGGGTGGAGGTGGATATGCTTGTGATCGAGGGTCTGAAGGCGGAGGTGGAGGTGGTGGGTAAGATCTCGATCCATCAGCCGCAGTTGGTGGAGGAGGATACGGTCTTGACGGATCAGCCGACGAGGGAGGCGGAGGATACGATCTCGATCCATCCGGTTGAGGAGGAGGTCCGTAATAACCTGGCGGAGGTGGTCCATACCGGTCCTGAGGTGAAGGGCCCATGTACCTGTCCATCGCAGACGGCGGATGCGTCCCATATCTTTCTGGAGGAGGCGGTGGTGGTGGAGCGGGTGGTGGCTGAGTACCATATCGCTCGGGTGGAGGCGGGTATCCAGCTCGTTCAGCCGCATATCTATCCTGCGGCGTTGGAGGTGGCGGGTAGCGGTCATGAGTCGGTGGTGGTGGATAACGTTCGTGGCCAGGCGGAGGCGGAGGGTACCGGTCCGGCGGCGGGGGATAGCGCTCGTGTGGAGGCGGCGCGCTAGGACCAGCCTGTGCGTTTGGCGCGACTCCAGACGGCGGCGGCGGTGGAGGCGGAGGCGGCGCGTAGAAGTCAGGTGGCGGGCGTCCGGCATACGGGCCGTAAGGGTCGCTCGCCGGCGGCGGCGGGCCGTAGCTAGGCGCCCGAGGTGGCCAGGGCGGATATGGGTACGGCTGTGGTTGCGTAGTCTGTGCAGCAGTAGCGCTGGGCGGAGGCGTAGGCGTGGGATGATAGCTCGACGGGCGCTCAGAGGGGAAGCGCGCTGGTTGTTGTTGTTGTTGTGGCTGTTGTTGCGCGGATTCATGCTGGGAGGCCACACTAGGCGCTCGCGTGGCGGGTTGCACCTCGACCGGCTCGATCGGCTCGGGCTGCAATATCTGGGATGCCGGCGGCGGTGGAGGCTGTGGCGAGGACGAGCGACCGAGCGCAGACGCTGGCTCTGCGCTGTCCCGTGGCTCGAGCTTGGGCTCCGGCGCGCCGGCCTCGACCTCGCCACCCGCGTTCGGAATCCGCAACCACCACCGGTCCTCCCCCAGATCCCCCTCCCACCGCGGCTCGGGTTTGTCCGAGACCCTCCCGACCTCCTCGGCGAACTTGAGCGTCAGAAAGTCGTGCTCGTGCCCTTTGCACCGCGAGACCAGCTGCGTGAGAGAGTATATGAACGCCATCCGCGGCAGCTTGTGTCGTTGCCGGATTGCCCGGGCGTTGTAGAGCTCGACGGTGAAGACATCAGCGAAGCGTGCGCGGTCGTCCACAGTGGCGCGTTGGAGGGCCTGCAGCGCGGCGTAGAGACGCTCGGCCGAGCGGTAGTATTCTTCTGCCATATTGTTGTTGTAGACAGTCGCGTCAAAGAGAAAGATATAAATGTGATGAGGCCTGATGAGAGTGCGTGGGCCCAGGGGTATAGAGTTTATAGGTATACAACGAAACAGAAGAAGGCAGCCCCAATCAAGACCTAAGCGACGACGGCAACGGAACAATGGGACAGCGAGCCCCAGCAGCAGCCCAGCAGCAAGAGGCTGGTGGTCAAGAGTCAAGCTTCACAAGATCATCTCTCTTCTTCTTTCCTTCCCCTCCTCGCGACGGTAATCCCAAAGGAAGCCCGCCCTCCCACCGTCCAATAATCCGGAGGCCCCATATCTCGAATCGCGATGGGCCCCTCGCGTCCCGAGCTACGGGCCCGGGAGAAAGGCGCGTACCCACCCTCGGGCCGCGCGTGCAATTCTCGGCGCTTACCCCCACCGCGTCAGTCGCTGTCAGAAGACCACGCCGCGATGCAGGACCCATGTCCAGTCCCCTTTGGCTCATCCTCGCCCGTAACACCCCCATCCGCCCATCTCCATCATGCCCTTTCTCCCGATATCACCCCACCTGTCCGACGAACCCTCGCACTCTGTCCTGCATATGGATCATGAAAATGAAACCAACTCGATGATGACCTCGATGCATTGACTGCTACCGCGCGCGAAAACCGTAACTGCGGTTTATAGCAGACCCGGCGGCGCACTTAGCCTTCAGATCGCCAATACACTAGCTGTTCGTGCTCACGCGCCGTCCCAGGCCTATCGCCTGCATCTTCCCCATCTCTTCGCAGCAGAAGCTGCCATGCCCGACGTTCTCCAACAGGCAGATGTACAGCGAATCAACGGCGATCACGAAAGCCTGCAGGCGTGCCATGCCGTACCGGGCCTGGCTCCCCCTGCCTCTCACCAGGGCACCGACTATATGCACTTGGTTCTACATCTGTAGCGACGGCTGTCGCATATGTGCATACACCCCCAGCATCAGCCGCCATTATCTTGATGATCAATCCGTCTATAGGATTACTTGTCCGACGTGGCCGAAGACAGCGACTCGGAGACCATATGATACCCAACCCCTCTCCGTCATCGCGAACTTCCCAACCGTCCTTCTACCTCGGCCAGTTGACAGCAATGTTTCTGATACCCACACACCCCTGAGAACGGAGAAGAACCTCCATCGCGCCGCATGGTCCCGGCGCGGGGGCTCGTGCCACGAGTACTTGAGAGCTATGAGGTGTAACGCCGTACCGATCGATCTAGGCTCGCTTGAACGTGCTCCTTCGTTACTCAAGTCACCTTCATACTTTACGCTCCGTGCTTTCTGTCCCGGCGGCCGGCCTATCCGATCGTAGAGTCGTGGCGCGGCGAACTTGGATGCACTCATTCGTTGCCGCCGACCGGCCGTTCGTTCGGCACGGATGACTCTTGCGCGCCTCTCAACCTCAGGATCTTTTCAGCGAGGCCCTCGGGCTCAAGCTCTACCTTGGCGAAGCCTCTGTCGAGGGCTCACATCATACCCGCCTTCGCCGTCTTCAAACCGAGCGTAGACTCGGATATTGACTTCATCTACACCTTGAAATCGCGGCCATTGAGCCTTATGAGCGCCTCCTCAGGTCGAGTCCGACGCGAGGGCTCATCACTTGTACTCCGGTCTTCATCAATGAAGATCTGGACGCGCAGGCCGGAAAGACTACAGCTGCCCGCACGCACGCGGCTTTCATCGACCAACGAGTCTTGCTACAACTCGGTCTAATCTCGATCCTCAAGCTACTCTTCTCCGCTCCACGACGAACTCTGATTGCCTCTGAACCTACCATACTCGGTTCACCGCCGGAGGGGTAACCAGTGTTGCAAAGGGCGCATATAGTACTAGGTGAACGCCGAAAGCCGCGATTATACCGGGCGGGCAGCCTGTTCAACGTTCACCCTCGGCATTGTGTGCCTTCGGACTACTCGGCGAAGGACCATATTCGACGCTCTTCGCCCACTCTTACTCGGCGCGTTGGACAAGAGGGTGCTCAATCGAGGTGCTTCGGGCGCAGAGCTGCTTGTCCGGCGCTTGGGCTCGTTCTTCGGCTCCCTATGGAGCTACGATATGAACTTCCATGCTTCCAGGTTACGGCCAACGAGGCTTTCATTGCTCTCACAACGTGTTTGCTCACAGCCCCTATATACGACTGGGGCATGCTGAAGCTCACGTTCACCCTATCGCCCAACAACGCCGCATCCTGAGCCTCCCGATAATTGCCAACAGCCGTGATACATGCCTGCTTAGGACAGACGCCCATTTGCCGAAGGGTTCCATCGGCATCCCTTCACGCTGGTGACGGTGCTCAGAGAGCCGCTACCTCGCTCCCGGCGTATACAGTCAGTCGTTCTTTGTACGAATAGAAGCAAAACCGCTGACTGCCACCACTCAAAGCACCGAACATCGAATCTCTGAACCTTGACGGCGCGAGGCAGTGGACCGACTACTCCATTTATCCGCCCGAGCATCGCCTCTTTCACCCATTCACCCTTGCACGCATGTTCTACGTATGCCCATCGTACTTATTACCCTTCGACGGAGATATATTCATTGCAGAGGAATATCTTCGGCTCGCAACGCCAAATATCCTCGGCATTTTCTACTCCTCAGCATATACAGGCAATTCAGTTCATCCACCCGAGCTCCTCTATCGAACGCACTTCCATGCTTCTTCTTCTAGCTCAAGACTCTGAACTCTGATACTCGTATAGTACTCCGCGCCGCGTTGGGCAGTCGCCGATCTTGGGAGCCTGGCCTGGGAACCTTCTCTCGGTCCGTTCGGGCCGATGCGCACATACACGCATACACTTTGTCTCCAACCATCACGCCCATGGCCGGCCCTTGCCCATACTCTGCCTTGGACATACACTCACGATCTGAGTTGAACCTTACGCAACATGCGAGCTGAGATGTCTCTAGCACGAGAAAAGCGTCTTTACTGCATACAAACACTTCTCTGGGCAAGGACACGATCCATACACCGCGGGCCTCGCGGCGGTTATCTCCGCGGCACAGCGGTTCTGGCAGCGTTTTAGGCGCGCTATCGCTATTCAACTGCGACGGATACTTCACCTGCAACACACGATATCCCCTTACAGACGGTGCACCGAAAACGGTATATCGACGCCCGCGGTTACGCCGGTTGCCGGACGCCTCGTTTGCGGGCCTGGCGAGATCTTACACGCTGGTCAGCAAAACGTACGCTTATACGATGGCGTGTTGTACTTGGAACACCGTACACGTTGCTTGGGGGTACATGGTACTGCTTCTCTTTACTCCGTGTTCCTGGCTGAGCTCATCGAACTTCACAGATGATGACAGGGCCTGGGGTCGGCGTCGCGACCTTGATCGGCTTTGTTTGTCGCCCATCCACGAACCTACACCGTATACGACGAAGAACGACATATAGAGACCTGAGATCCCAATAGGCTTTACGTCAGGCCGTCGCTCGGATGCTAGCTGCAGGTCGTTCACCCCTGAGTGCCACTCACTTTCCTGAGGATCTGACTCCTGAGATCACATCTTCGACGCCGCACCCGCATGGATTACCGCCCCTGGCGTACTGTGGGACTGCCACCATACGACTATCTCTCTCTTACCAGAACAACACCCTCATCTGACTTCACCGCTCCTTGATATCGCTATTTGCGTGCCCTTCTCCAACTGCGCGCGCGTCGTTCATTCGCGGTCTCCTTGGAGAGAAGTACGTCTCCCTCCATTCCTCCCTGCGCGCACATTCAGATTGACGTGTTACTCTCCTCTTCTGAACGTCTAGGCTCTCACATGACCCAGCCTGCCGTGAACCACGCCCCGTTCAACAGGGCCGCGATGTACTTCCCCTCGTACACATGCACACCCGGTGTCAACCGGCGTTCTCTCGACCCAGCGCCAAGTGGCAATCCCCCGCCTTCCTACGCTCATACTTCGAACTTCCACCTCCGATAAGGACTCGCGCATCCCACAAGCGCAGGGATCGACTGCACTCCTGTCGTTTGCGCAGCAGCACTTCAAGCTCCATGTACAGTTATACTCTACACGAGGAGTCCCATATCCGACATGGGCATTCCCATGCGCCGCGCGCGCACGGTCCGAATCGAGGAGTTCGTTCCCTGAGAACGATCAGGAGCGCGTTCGCACAGGGCAGTCTGCGCTGTTGGACTGTTCCGCTCGTGCCGCTTTACCGGTGCGTGGCGAGCATGTGGCGAGAGGGTTGCCAGGCTCACTCTAGCCCAGATAGGACATATTCTTCCAATACCTTATACTTCGATGTATAGTCCATAGTCCATACGAATCATGGTATAATGTATTCTCTCCTGAGAGCTTTCAACTTTGCTTGCATCTCGATGACCGGCTCTTCAGCGGAGAACCACGCAAGGTATCCCACTGCACGCCATCGCGCGTTTCCCAGCAACCGTCATGATTGCGACTCCCAACCGTACTACGATGCCCTTCGCAATACGGCGCTCATCATGACGTTCACGATTTCCCAGAGTCCATACCTGCCCCGTCATCATTCGCGAGCGGTGTGCGTCTAGATTACGCTTATCTCGGCGCCGTTCGATGTCGATCGTAGCTGCAAGCTTTATAGGTTGGGCATTTGCCTCGCCCGGCGACAGAGATGACCGTGAACCCGCGGTGAACTCCCTTCGGCTCTTCATTCGCACCCGTACCTGCGTCGTATGCTTCATTTGCGCTCGGCCACAACGTGCGATTCATTCATACTCGTTCCTCTTAAGGCAGGTGTACTGCTTATTGTGAGCGAATTCGTATCTTCTGACGTATTACTGTGCGTGTTATCGCACAGACTGCCATACAGTCGTACATACAGCATCCAAACACGCAGCTCGCACAAGACGATCCTCTCACATGACAGCTGTAACCAGAAGGTCCGCACGCGTGAACGTTGAGGTTCGTATCACCCAGATCGTAGCAGCGCTTGCCATTCTCATCTCTGACTCTAGTTAATTCTCTGGGACTTCATGGGCCCGGTGGACGATAGACGATGGCGGGATAAGTACCCGCCGCGATTCTGAAACAATCCGTGGTCCACCAGACTGCACAGACTACAGTGACACTGCACAGGCCCGACAAGTACATCGTCCGCTGGCAATATGCCTCCATGATACCGAGTACATGAAATGCTGTGTGTCGCGCATCCACTGTGCGCACACCTTTCGAGTATACTATATGGCCGGTTGTGACCTCTTTGAAAACCAGTCCTCAACATTTCAACGGCGATCTTGATCCGCTGTGGGATCTATCAGAGCGTGCAGGACAGAGCTACTCGGACACGGCGAGTCGAATCGGGTGAGTGCGATTCCAGAGAAAGAGAGTATGCCTATGTGCAACCAGCTCACCCTATGTGCAACCAGCTCACCCTGGTGCAACAACCTTGAATTCGCACTCTGCGCTTTGCGCCCCACTGCGCAAATCCTGCGCTACCTACTGGCGTACTGCAAGGGATTGGGAGTACTTTGTATGGTTTGTTAATATAGTCATTCGTACCTGTTTGTGACAAGTTTTGATCCATCAACTCTGGTTTAGGGCTAGGAACAGATGGATTGGTGTGTAGGCCAACACTCAGGATCCCGTCGGGGGAAAGCGAAAACCGTTCAACTGAGTTTTGGTCAATGCAAGGTTCGCGTAAGCTCGAAGGGCATGTACATACCTCATAAGGAAGCGCCTGACCTTGAACGACGTTCCAAGTTTGTGCTGACCTTTAAAGATTCTTAAAGGAAGCCGGCAAAATTCTCATCCCACTCAAGCTAGGCGACGACCTTGCCAGGAATTCGTAGGGAATAGGCAAGGTTTCAAGATCTCACAAGCCTACCTGAGCAGAGAGCATTAGCTGTCGTGGGATCTGTAGGTTCGCTTACTGGTCGGTAGTGCTGGATACCCTACGGTAGCCCACGGTACGCGGAGAACAGCCTGCGCGCGACGGAATGGGCTGCTGGCGCTCATGACGTCACGCGCTCGATCCCGGCCCCAGATTCCCGACTTCTCGTGCCGTTCGTTTTCGCCTTGGCGCGTTTCGACTCCTTCCCTCTCACC